GGGGCTAGTTCGGCGCCGAAGTCTCTCCGTTAGGCGGCCTTAGGCCACTATGCGTCATGTGACTGGCCGCCGCCTTGGCGCGGGGCTAGTTCGGCACCAAAGTTTCCCCGTAGGCGGCCTTAGGCCACTATACATTATGTGACTGGCCGCCGTACACCCTGCTGGCTTTGCAAGGCAGATATATATATTTAACCTGGCCTAATTAGGAAATAGGGCATAGCTTTATTTCTTTGCAGAATAAGGCCTTTAAGTAGTATTTAAGAATTCTAGAACTAAGGGGGCTGCGCCCCCTTAAACCCCCCTAGCTCTGCGAGGCAGATATATATATTTATGGCAGAGCTGGGAAAGAAAACGCGTTAAGAAGAGATCATGTGATTACCGTCGCGAAGTTGGAGCGGTGAGAAGGTCATGTGATCGCCCTTTTTTCTGGCCAATCAGCTTCATTCCTTTTGGCCAATCAGCGTCATTCTGCCGTTTTACATGATCCCTAATAAAGCTCACGTGACTGGGAGCCGGGACCTACGATTATCATGCGCTTAGGCCTCCACTTCGTTTCGGCCACGCGCAATGAAGGCAGAGATGTTGCTCTAATGGCCCTCCACGGTACCTTGTTGATCAAGGTGCTCAGGCAAGCCTTGCCAAGACAGCGTACACCTGTCAGCACAGCTGCAAGCATGCAGAGTCTGCATTGTGATGTCCACTGTTTTTGCTTTTTATTGTGCTTCTGCAGAGTGTCTGTTGACCAGCTATCTAAATCACGTGCATCCACATAGCAGGGGCAACTGGCCGAAACCCTCACCGCCCTACAACAACGCCAAGCCAAATAACCGCCGCGCCAAGCTTGCAACCACCATCGCGTCCACCACGTGGACAGCATCCAGCCAACCTCGACCCAACGAGCTCAGCTCAAGCTGCTCAACCCCTCACTCCCCCCAGAACTTCCATACACAATGGAGAAAAAACCGCCCCCATCGCAACTCCTCCGTCCACCCCCGCACCACCGCCCCTCCGCAACCCAAGCTCCAGCGGCGGGCGCGCCCCGAGTCGCCCCCGCCAAACTCTCCGCCGACCCCAGCGCCATCATCGCCGAACAGACCTACTTCTGCGGACCGTACCCCATCTCCATCGGCCGCGGCACGGTCATACATCCGCGCGTACGGATCTGCGCGACGGAGGGGCCGATCAAGATTGGGGAGGGGTGCATCATTAGCGAGAAGAGCGTTATTGGGACGTATCCGGCCCCGACGAACGCAGGCTCAGAGGCTGGGTCTCACTCCGATGAGAGGGCGATTGTGGTTTCGAATAATGTGGTCATTGGCGCGCAGGTGATGGTTCATCCTGGCGTGAGGGTTCATTCGTTTGCGGTGGTTGATAACCAGGTTGTTGTTGGGCGGGGAGTGGATGTTGGTGGGCATGCGAAGGTTTGCGCGCGGTGCGAGCTTGTGTCTGGGGCGAGGGTCAAGGAGTGGAGTGTTGTTTGGGGCGGGGGCAAGGGGGGCGGGTTGAAGACGAGAGTGAAGGCACAGAAGAAGGTCATTAGTCCGTTTGCTGCTGGGGAAATGGGGTTTGAAGGGGTGATGGAGGGACGGGCAATTGAGGATGCAAGGTTAATGGCGGTTAAGAGGGAGAGAGATGCGCTGTCGAGGTTGATTGTTGGGAAGAAGAGGGGATGACAACCGTAAAACTTCTCTGGCATTACTGGTGTTTCTTGGGTTCGTCTATATGCATTAGCGCGTTGTCTTTCAATTATACCCAGTTACAGTTAGGCCATCCAAGTTATGCTTCTAAATTACATTTATCCCGCCACAAAACCATCCATAAGATCATCCTCATCCTCATCCACCAGCGCATTCCTCCTAGAGCTCCCAACACAATCACAAAGCTCCCTCAACGCCGCCTCATCATCATCCGAAGCCCTCAACGCCACGCCATCAACATACTCAAACATCTCCCGCCGACTCTCGACCCCCGTAAGACCCTCCCTCGGAACCTCCCAGTAGATAAAATCCGTATACTCACTCGGCAAAACCCCATCAAAAAACACCAGATAGCTCTCGTCCCCAAACCCAATCCTGATCCTGTGCTCTGACTCAAACGGCGTCGTATCATCCGCCCACCAGTTCGGCGCATGCCCGTACCGGAATTCCCTCAGGTTCACTAGCTTCTCCTTGAAGGCGCGGAAGTAGTCGGCCCAGCGCGTGCTGTAGGACGTGTAGACCTTGCGATCCGGCAGATGCGGGTGAGGCTTGAATGCATCCGGTGGTAGGAGGGTGGAGTCCTGCTTATCCGTGTAGATGGCGGCCTCGTGGACGATGGCGCAGTCGTCCATATACAGTTCTGTCAGCGTTGCGGCGTGTGAAAGGATCCAGTTTAGCTGGGAGTCGTGGATGAAGGTGTGGTTTCCGAAGGCGAGGCTCTTTAAGTTTGGGAAGTGCAGGTCCCTGAAGTCGCATTTGGGGAAAAAGCCTGCGTAGATGCTGGAGTAGAGGGTTAGGTGCTGGAGATTGGAGAGGGCTGGTTTGAGCCAAACTAAGGGGAGCTCGGAGAAGAAGCGCTGCGGGTTTTCTAGCTGGAGGTGATGGATTAGTTCAGGACGGGGTCAAGCTCATACACTTGGTATTTGGGCGAACGTACATCATAGTCCGAACTCCCCTTCATGCCTCGGTTCGCATTGGTGACGTTGAGTCTCAGGGACCTCAGCCTCGGCAATATCGTGTTCAAGCTCGCAACTGTCTCTGTGTCCGTTTCGTTGACGTTATAGATATCCCGCAGCGCAAGGTCCTTCAGCCCAGGCAAGGCGGCAAGCGCTCCCAGACCCGTCTGCATAACCTCTGACCGGAAGTTCTCATCCTGCTGGACATCATCATACACATCGTCGGGACATTCCCAGTGGAAGCGAAGAGCTACGCTCTGCAGCCGGGGCATGTCCTTGAGGTAAAGAAACAGGCGAGATGCTACATCCTCGCCATCGTCGTACTGAGACTCTGGGGGCTTTTGCTGTCAGTGGCAGTCGAGGTGGGGTTCGGGGGATGACAGGCTCACATGCTTCACATCATATGTGTTTAGGTAGATCTTATTGATGTATGGGACGAGATCGGGTCTCTTGAGAATGTTCTCTAACCGCCCATAGCTCTCCTCAGTTGGACAGACCCTTAGTGTCTGGAAAACACTCTGCTGGCCAATGGCCCCCAATTGGCGGTTTGTGAGACGGAGCGCTTTTTGCGATTTCTGGTCTGCGTGGAGGAAGATGTTCCCGAGGATCTCGGGGGGGAGGGAGCTGAATTGTGCCATTTCTGCGGAATGGACTGAATTTATTATCCATGGTCGGGATTTTGGCCAGATGGCGACTTTATAGAAAGGAGACGCAGGCAGCGAAGAGGGAGTGGATTCTTCTGCCTGAGAACGCCTTCGCTAGACCCTGGATGCCTGATCTGTCGATGCCTGGGTGCCTGGGTGCCTGGGTGCCTGAACACGGCGGGCAGAGCCGGGGCGGCCAGTCCCGCAATTACCCGAACAGGATATGTGCTAGCCCTAAGTTGAAGGACATAGGCAGTGGACAAAAGGCCACTGCATCCAGCTCTGGGTTAATGAAGATAGAGTACTACAGTGAGTAGAGAGTTCCTCGTCCTCTTCAATTACTAGAAGATGTCGGGGCTTTCAACCAGGCCGAATATAGGTTGAGAGACCACTTCAAACCTGATGAGAGTGTGGCGGGTCCTCTTCCTCCAGAGTTTTACGGTGGTGTTTGGTCCGGATTCTTGTAGACTTCATTGATTACATGGGAGCAAAAACGCTGAGGACTCATCATTCAGACCATACGGGGACAAAGGGCACATTGTGGTCATCAAAACAGGTACTATATAAGATCTTAATCAAGCACAACAAACACATACGACCACAGGGTGTGGAGAACAGGGCTTCCCGTCCGCTCAGCCGTACTTAAACCACACGCCGGCTGGTTAGTAGTATGGTGGGTGACCACATGCGAATCCCAGCTGTTGTATGTTTTTGTTTTTGGACTTTGTATGGATCATGGTCTGTTGAGGGGGTGGGCGCGAAGGAGGAAGCCGGGATTATGCAAATCGCCCAATAAGGAACCCATGTTCTAATTAAATACCATCCATCTCTATGGGAATGTAAAGGTTTGTTAATCGGAAGGAGACATATCTCTGCACGATGGACTGGACGGCGTATCAACATGTAGTCAAACCTTGGAAGTAGGGTGCTTGTATGGGATCACAGATAAATCTTATTGGAAGAAATCATGACTCTTCTATGGCAGTTCAAGATAGCTACTTTGCAAGACAGTATTCAAGCCACTTACGCATTCTCAAGCAAAAGGCCTGGTATGATGAATCAGGTTGGCTCCGAGTCTCCCGCTACACCCATTGAGAGCGGACATTGTATTGCCAAAAGCAACTGAAATCACTATGGCCTACAAGATGGAACAGATTTCGCTGGCTGTGGCATGGTTCTATACCCCTCTATGGCCTGAGAGGGTTATCGGGCCGCTGAGCCTACTCCATTGCCTAAGGAGAGTAGTCCGATCTATGTATACACAGTGACTGACCATCAACTACTTGAAACAAGGCATTCTATTGTTGGACATTGGAAAATATTTTTATTGAACCATTGGTGGTCTTCCATGATTCCATTACAGCCTGGATGTCATTCAACCTCGCTTTCGTACCTGCAACGCTCATTGTACAATGCATTATCCCCTTTGGCAATGTCAAGCATGCACTTGCAGCACAGCCCGGAGACAAAACGCACCATTTAGGGATCCCTGATATATCTAAGAAGTAAACGAACCTATTATATTACACCCGCCAGCCAGCCGATGTTAGAGTGTAGATTTAGCCAATGGTGTCGGCGTTGTCCCAAGCCACCCCCAGGATCGAGATCCTAGTCTGGGGCTGTATACTCCTGTTTCTCCGCGCTATCCATTAATGTTCTCCTAATATTTTCCGGGTTATTATCCAACATTAGATGTACGGCGTCTACTATGCACTTCAACGACCTCGACTCATCCCCGATCGATGTCCTATAACCACTCTGGTAACGGAGCCTCGTCCGATTAGGCGTCGAGAGTGACAGCAACCCGACCCCTGAACTACCCTGCTGGATATCAAGTCTCAAAGAACAGAGAAGACATAAATAGTTGCGAGTTCCCTCCTCCTGGCATAGTTAATACCAAGTCACACACTTGAACTCGCCAGATCAAGCCGCAAGCAAAGCAAAGCAAAGCATCACCCATCCATACTTCACCCCATCATGCGTTTCACTCCGCTCTTCACCATTGCCGCACCAGCCCTTCTGATCGCAGGTGCTGCCATAGCCCACGGTATGTGTCTTTCTCCCATCCTTCCTATCTGCACCCCAAGGGAACTCTGCATGGGGACCTCTCTCCTAACGTCACCCCTGATAAACCAGCACCCATCCCCGCCGACACCCTAGAGACCTTGATCAAAAACCTCAACCAGCCCGACGCCCTCGACGCATTCAAAGCCGTGCTAAACGGCGAAGTCCCCCCATTCCTCGACACCCGCGAGTTCGAGGAGCTCGCACGGCGCCAGGAGTGCTGCGAGTACGGCATCTGCTGTAACATTGAGACGTGTCAGGAGGACGGCAGCAGCTGTCTCCAGATGTGCTTTGGGTATCAGAGTCCTTGGCAGCAGCTTGGGTGTATTGCGGGTATGTATTCTCGTTGCTTATTGCATTGCCGGCCGCGAAGTTATGGTGGTTTTGCTTTGAAGGGGACAGTGCTGATGGGGTTGCTTCACCCAGGATGCGCTACTACGTGTGGTTAGGGGTGATATCGATGCGTGGTGTAGGTCGTGCTGCATGACTGACTGAGTTGTGAGGTGGGAGGCAGGAAACGTACCGGACCATGTACTTGAACAAAGGGCTCTTCTCCCCCATCTCTTCGAATCCATCTTCCACGCATCCGGCCCTATTCTCTTCCTCACTGGATTTTGCCTTTCTTTGTTCAGTCTGGAAAGAGAAAAAGCGATCCATGATACGTAGGTAGACGGTCGAGATCTAGACTCGGACGACACTCAATAAAGAATGGTTGGCCTACTCGGCTGTGCAGTCAATAGTCTGAGAACAATGAACCATGTGGTGCCCCAGTGCATAAAGAGACCGTCTTGAAGCGCCACAGGATCCAGGAATCGTTCAAAGAAACTATGAAGATAAGTACCGGTCGAGTTCCGCTCAAATCTCCTCTCCTAGTCAACCCTCAGTCTACTTTTGTTGCCTCTTCCCGACCAACATGTATAGCAGCAAACGCTTGCAAGCTCTTGCCAACACTGGCAGGACCGGTGGAACCCCCAAAGTCACCAGTATGTATGGCGGCTGGTACGACGCCCCCAATGGAAAGCGCTACTTCGGACTGGGCAAGGTGGTGGAAATCGGAATAACGCATGATGGCGGCACCTACGTCCGAGTCGAGCCCACGGCAACCAGAACCGGAACCAACACCGGCACGAGGTTCGATTTCTTCGATCCCGCTACCGACGAGGATATGCCTCGGGACCAGTATCCAAAAGACCTGGAGACCCGCCGGCGGGCAATCCATGTCCACCGTCCAGGAACCTTTGTAGGCGAGCCAACGCTGGGCCTGGGCCCTGGTGACACCAAGTACGGTCTCTACATATCCGCAAGGAATGTAACGCACTACGGAGTTGGCAAGATTGTTCGGGCCGAGTTGGGTAAAGACGGCAAACTATGTGGCCGCTACACAGTTGAACCGCCCCGCCTACGCGGTGGCCTCCCGTTCTGGGAGCTCTACATACGTGAGGACATCCTGGATGAGGATCTGCCGCGCTCGCCTTACTCTGGGAGCTTGGAAACGCAGCAGCGTGAGGACAAGAACCGCCCGCGGCGTCACGAGCTGATCATGCTGAACTTCATGGATGTACGCTTGTCGCGCCAAGGGGGCCAGGTTACCCATCCGCAGTTGGGCTCGGAGCACGTGGGCGCGTACTTCGCACCTGACGGTCAGTGGTTTGTTGGAGCCGGCAAGATTGTTGCTGTTGGGTATGTTCTCTCGCCCATAAGCCTGGAACACTGGTATGTGTATGTTGAGCCGACAGCGGAAAAAGGCGGTGATTATGACTTCTTCCACCCGGTAACCCGCGAGTGGATGGACGAGCTCCCTAGCAATGCTATACCCGGCGTGCAATGCAGTGTAAGCCAGCGCAAAAAGATTTTTGCTTCCCGCTGGCGGGACCTTCCCCCGATACGCCGCAAACCCGAGATTGGCGCCGAGTATCACGGGCGGTACTGCCCGCCCAGTGCGCCCAAGCGAGACGTGTATGTTGGTGTGGGCAAGGTGGTTAAGACTGGGATCAACGAGAAGAATCAAATCTGGGTGGAGGTGGAGCCTATTGCCAGCAAACGTGGCAACCTTCACTACAAGTTCTGGGACCCCTGGAGTGGCAAGGAGATGCCCGATCAGTACTGGCCTCTTGAGTAAGGATGGCAGGGCAGGACCTTGCTTGTGCGTGGATTGGCTTTTGGTGAATAATGCTTCGTTTTGCTTGCGTTTGTCTTGATTACCTGTTTATATACGCAGATAGTTTATAGTTAGTGCCTGTTGCTTGATGTATTTAGAACATATACTTACCAGAGTTTTGACTCCCCAATTGTGTCGTTCAAAGGCCAGCTACTGATGATCATCATCCGCACTCTCTTGGATACCAGCTTGTGCCTCAACCTTCTCAGAGTCCTCCCATCTAACGATCAGCGTCCGCCCTAGCATCACTTCGTGTAAGAGCCTTTTAGGGCTGCTTACCCTAGTACTTTGTCGGTCCATGATTCGCTGAGCATCGAAGATGTGATGCAGAGACAAAGAGTAGGATAACAGAAGGAGGACGATTATATGACGGTAAATGAAGGTGTGTTACAGGTAGGTACCCAGTATCAAGGCAGAATCACGGGTGTAACGAGCCAGTAAACGGCCCAATGCAGCCTTGAGGGTTGTCCGAACTTCGCCAGGCAACACGAACAGGGTCCAGAGTCGCGAGGGGCGAGAGAAGAAAAAGAAGAAGAAGGAGAAGATTGGCAAGAATGCATCCTGAGTCAGAGGGAGGCGCAACGTCCAGAAAACCCCCCGGCTTGTCGTGTGGTTGCACAGCAGCTTGCTGTTCACTCGCTGCATCAGAGCCCCGTGCTTTAAAGCAAGACGGTCATAGCGTTCCTATTCTGAATACGAGAACGACACTGACGATCAGAGCTTAGACTTCCAAGCACCTAAAGTGCTGGGATCACCATGACGCTGCACCATGACGCTGCCCCTCAGTGGCCGTTTGCACGCCATCTTCCAGTGTCCCAGACTAGGTCCCGGACTAGGTCCCGGATGATGGCGCGTTTAATTAGTTGCTATACTCGCAATAGACTTTCAGCAGTCAAGGAAGCTCCCTGGGCGAGCAAGTCAACCGGTTCGCTTTTGAGGCGCACGGTCCCTCGCATATTGTGCTGTGACGAAGTCGTAGATATGGTCAGTGCGAGACGGATTTGATAGCCGGCTAATCAACGATGAATATAGACTTTCGACACTCGGTATTCTTCGCCTGCCCTAGTATTATCCGCCCGAGTGATCAGTGCTGTGCCTCGTTTGGGTTGCTCAGGAAAAGGCTTCCTAACACAACCATTGGAGATATCTCTATCGCTCGCCTCTTTCTCAGCATTGGTAGCCGGGGCTTTCGATGGGCGCCTGAAAGGCTAGGAGAAGTCAGTGCATCCATCGAGGTGCCATGGCAGGACCTTGGGCAGATAACGAGTATGCGAAGATACCAGTCAGCAATGGGTATTGGACTTCCCAGACAGGAACCACTTCAAACAGCCCAGCTCGAGCATCACAAAGGACCCTTCGATAGAAGTAGTGGTGGCCTCCTCCATTTGTGAGACCCATTTGGTACAATCAACATACGCCAATCCCCCATTTCCAGCCGCAAATCAACGCTCATGACGGACAGAAGTGGCCGGTGCTTGTTGTGCGCAACCTACCGTTGGACAGGCGCCCAGCCTTCAAATTGGAAATCGTCGCGGATTCTGCGGCACCCTTTCAATAATGCCTCAGCCCAAGCCAGGATCCTTCAGATGCGAGTCGACAGTCTAGGTCTCACGTTCTGGACCCATCTAAGCAGGGTGATCCTAAGGAGCGTTGAACTAAATTTACCCAATCTCGACACCATCATAAGGGGGACGCGCAATACTCGTTATTTTTTCAAATTTTCCGACGCTCGAAAAAGGCATGTGTTCATTACCTTCGGCTGACTGGGGGGCGTCGAACGTCGCTGGCTCGTCCGATTCTGGGGTATCGGGCCTTCGTTCCGGCTGCGGTCGTTCAGTGGCGATATCTGGTATTACCGGCCTTTATTGAGCAGATACGAAAGTACCCTATGTCACCCCTAATCGAAGGCGGCGATCTGGCGTAGTAGCTACCGATGATTGCGGAACCGGTAATTGCCTGTTTTGCTTCCTATTTGCTGTTCAATCATGTATCCGGAGCCCAACCTATGAACCGTTCCGGTTGATTTTCTACCCAGCCATCATAAATAGCTAGGGCCTGCGGCCCTGCAAGTACCTCATCCTGCTGTTCGTCTTGCCCCCTCCCTCTAGGCTGAAGCTGGCTGCGATATGCAGGTCTGCCACAGGAGCCTCGAGGTGCAGCGCGCTGTGCACGGGGCCGCTGCTCTGCAGAATACGTGTCTAGACCATGATTTAGGTAAACGGGACGCAGAACGTTGACCACTCCGTGGCTCTGTCCTCAGGAGCAAAGGTCCGCGAAGTAGATCGTCTATCTCCTCCGCACCAGAAACGTACACCTGCACCAGATCAATGGCAAATTTGTTATGTAGTCCTCTGGAATTGAGTTAGAGAGAGGTGTAATGTTCAGAAAACCCCCCGGCGATTGTCATGGGTCAAGTGCTTAGCCTTCAACTTGCCGCGAAGCATGTCTAACGCCTGCGCCAATTGCCAGAGAGGAGATAAACGCCGGAAAGAGACGGACCGCTGAAAGAAATGCTCTGCGACTGCGAAGAACAGGCCACGGCCGCGCAATGTTCCAGGTCATCGGAGGATTTGAACAAGAAGTTGCGTAATGCGAGGTGCCGTAGAGGCGGCCAGACCATCGTACAACAACTAGCGGTACCAGCACCGGGCTGGTATTGTATTCACTTTGCAGCATGCGAATAATCCAAGATCCTTGGTTGAGTGAGTACCAATTGAGTTTCAAGAACAAGCCCTGAAGCACCGGACTGCTTAGCGTCTTGCTGAGATACTGATATATGTAGAATAGTTCTTTGCTGGATAGGTGCTTGCATCGGCCGATTCGGCTGTTGTGCGTGTCGCCGGCTGAAGGACTCCAGGTTCTGGCAGGCTTCGCGGAGGTCCGTACAAAGCGAGATCGGCGATTCCTCGTCACCAGAGCTATCAGGACAGATCAGGGCATGTTGTCCCGGCGGGGAAAGGGGCCGTTGTGGATATGGTGGAGCGTGTGTCCGTTTAGGATCCTGGCAGGTATAAAGTAGACGCCTTTGTCAAAATGTACCTGCCCATGCTCGGTATCATCCCACGAAAGACACTCTTCCATCCTGCTTTCGTTGATACCCCTCATACCCCTGTCGAAGGGCGACATGGTATCCGCGCATTACAGCGTCAGCAGAAGTGGTCTTCCCCTTGGTTTTTGCGTCCACGTAGGTAACCCACGCATCGCCGATGTGAAAGTACAGTGCGCAAAAGGACCTGATACAGTCATCCTGATAGAAGTCCCCATCGCACCAAGCGCAATGGTTACGTATTTTGTGGATATGATGAATCTGGTAGTCTTTAAATCTTGCCAAAGTGGTAGCTACTATGGTACTTCTTTTGGGCGATACCGGAGGTCAACTCTAACGGTACGGATGTAAGGCGCTATGTGTGCGCATTTTGACAAATGAACTGCCCTATTCAGCGACTCGAAGCTAATGTCTACCGGCAGGATCGAGCATAGGAATGGCGATGCCAGCTCGTTGAAGAGGCGGCAAACTAGGCGGATGATTTTGATTGTTGTACGACGCGCCTTGACTCTATCGGAGTTGAACCAAGAGTGTTCGAATTGGTCTTTTGCTTTGATCCTGGGTTTCTGGAAATATCAAAAGATCTGATGCAGAATATCTGCGGGTACGTCTGCGAGGGTGAGGCGCTGAATTTTAGGTTGCGATGGCTCCATCACCGGATTCGGGCAGACGTTGAAGGATTCAGACGATCGATGGGAATATCTGCTCACATTAAACTTTTTTTTCCGGGCTTGGGGCCTGATGTGTGAATCAACTGTGAGGCGCAGCGTTTGCAAGAACTCACTGGGCGAAGTGTCTATGTCAAGCTACTCGCCGGGCCTGATTTCGGTCTCGGAACTTTTTGGTTCTGTGTCCACTGCGTAGCCGATGTTTTTGCTCTCCGATATTTCAAGGCCTTGGAGCTTATTGGGATCTTCCGCTATCTTGCGTCTTATCCAGTCAATTCGGTTGTTGATATGGCTGCGTCCTTCGTGTCCCGTATACGTGATCAATGACCGAACGTCTCTGGCAATGGAATATTATGACATGCTTATTTTGGGGTTCGATTCGGGAGCAGTCCCTCTCGAGTGGTTATGCTGTTGAGCAAGATGCTCACTGAACCATCGACCCAAAAGTCGGATGGTAGTCCGTAGCATTCACTGCGGTATTCTTAGCATGGAAGATACCATTCTGAACCGAGTAAATAGCTCACCGATCGAAATCATAATCATCCCAAACTCATCCGTCTCCTCTAACCACTTCTCGGCTCTCGGCTGCATCTTGATACCGGGTCGAATCTGATCATACTCCCCTTGAATGTACCCATGTCCATCCCACCTCGCTAGCCATTTGATATATATTGAATTCCATTCCTGCTCTGACTGAGCCTGCCATAGGATCTTTGCAGCAGGCGCGGGCATAAACGCAAGCTCCCGGCAGTTGAACGAAGGTATGCCGTGAAAGACGGCGTAGGCCCAGTGGATGAGGTAGAGCGAGAGTACTGCGCGTCTCTTGGATGTAACATGGACCCAAGCTGACCAGTCTGGGCGCATTTGCTCCCGTTCTTCCTGCAGAAAGAGGCCTGTGCTGGCGGTATGGTTGACGAGGTCCTGGACTTTGCGAAAGAGGTTCACGTCGGGGAGAGTTGGGCGGGAGCCGCCAGCTGGGAAGAGGAGGATGATTATGTAGATGGTGACTGCTTGTAAGACGGCGAGAAGCGAAGATTCATCGAGATCCTCAAACTGCCATGCTTTAGAGTCGCTCTGGGCAAAATCAAAATAGGTCATACCTTCGTCAAACGTCTGTTGACCTCATTCATGATCAGTCTGTGGACCATATCTTCTGCGCCTTGACAATGCCCATGCCACATCTTGACCAGCGTGACGCAATTAGCCAACGGGAGCGGTAGAGACTTGCCGTCGCCAATGTGGCTGTGATGGATCAAAGGAGGAGTCTGAAATTCTTCAGCCAACATTCTTGGCCATGCCCGTAAGACGCGAAAGATAAATTCCATGCTATGGATTACCAGCGCGGCAGCGTTATCAAGAGTAGGTTTCGGCGAGAGTAGCGGAGCTGAGAGATCTCCAAACAGTTCAGATGAGTATGCCTGCCCACCATTTAGAACGAGTGCCGAGTCACGTCGCTGTGGTAACGGATTGATGTCGACTGGGAGCGACAGATCCCAGGGCGCAGTGTCCGAAAATAGTGCTTCAAACAGGCTGGACGAGTCGGCAGCTGGTGGTTCCGGCAGTACAAGCGTTCCTGACGGTTCAGGTAGTAGAGAGTCCAGGTCAATCTGCGTCAATGTGTCCACTTCCTCTGTCTCCGGGGATGGTGATTCGGACGGGTCTTCTGCCGAAACTGGATACTGACAAGGCGCCTGCCTCAGTGCGCACCGGGAGCAGCTGGGACGCTTGAGGTTACACCGCGCCTTGTTGGCAACACATTGAGCGCAGGCTTTTCGGCGGAGTGATTGCGACTGAGACTGGTTGCACTTCTTCCTGAGATGGCGGATAAGCGAAGACCCTGTGCGGCTGTAAGAAAATGGCCCGGAGACGGAGCTCGTGGACCTCACGATGGCTGAAAGTGGTGGCACAAGAGGGACACTTGATTTTCTTGTCGTCTGTGTTGTTTGAGTCCATGATTGCGATGAGTTTGAGAAGTTGGGAGATGGGAGAGGAGGCTGCTCGGAGTTCAAGAGAATCAGAGGACTCTCTGCGCTCGGAGTTCCGGGTCGCCTGCGCCGATCCTGATTGGTCAACAACCAATCACTATGGTACCATAGTAGACTTTGCAGAGTATATCAGCCAGCATGCTTTTGAGTGTTATGCTATACCACAAAGTTAAATGGCAGGGTACTTACAGCTAGAAAGAGCCCACTAAGTAGTAGCAAAACTACTTGAATTCTTAACAGTACCTCGCTGTGAAGGATGTCAGACATAACTGAGCAATTAGCAGTTATTTTGTCAGATAGTGATAATGCTGGTGCCCAACACAGTGAAGACCATGTCACTGGCGATGTGCAGCTGGAGCCACTGCAACCGACAAACGGCCACAAATCTGACACACCCGACCAGATCAGAAAACTCCATCCCCCTTCAAATTTCCATCGTCTCCCACTCTCTAGTATCCTTCACCCTACCAACTATCCACTCCATTTCCAAGATGAGTACGCCCCTCCAGAATCACTACTGCGGCATCTGCGATGGTCCGCTGAGCTCGCTACACCTCCGCAACATCTCCACCATCCAGCCAGGCGATAACGCATCGCGATGCCGCAACAACCGCTGCAACTGCCCCGCCAGCTCTGAAGGTGCCCCTGGCCCTGCTAGCACCCACGAAGCCTCCTGCGCCTCTCTTCAAGGTTAAGACGGCGCTCTCGTATCGGAGAAGGATATAGAGGTAAGCCCGGCGATACTTCAACTGCACACCAGGCTAAATCCTGCATTCTAGTGGCTCGACGACGTCATTATGCTGTCCCCTTACCATGACACATGCTATGTGTCTGGAGTTGTAACAAATTCTTTCCTTCCCGCAAGTCACTCCGAGCTGAAACTTACCACAGGGCACTTTCGATCCGGGCCACGGCATCTTCGTTTGTGAAGGCAAAAACGGATACAAGATCCGCGTTCTAGTCCCAACCAGGGGCACCACGTTCTTCATACACTGTTCAAAGGTACTTCATACGGTTTACGTAAAATCTGGTCGGGAGTGCAGCTTCAACGACCTCGTTAAGCGCTTCGGCTCAGTTAAGATTATGCAAACACACCTCCGTGATGGGATCGATGGCTGGGGAAACCATCCTAGGCTGTATGGCAGTGCGGAGGAATTCCACGGCGAATCAGGCTGGAAGCCGATCCCGGGAAGAGAGGTACTTGTTTCCGGCGATGCTTCATGCTCTAAGGGTTCACTCGTGGCTAATCAACTACGCCATGCGGTATTAGTGTTTTGTCGCAGATCCGCTGGAACAGCACGACTTCCGGGCATTGGTTGAGGAGACGGTACTCGCAGAGCCTACCAGTCCGGCCGAAACCGAAGAGTCTCATACGGAGATGGCCAGCGAGATGGATAACGATGGCAACGGAACCGAGCCTGAGGATGAGCCTGAAGACGAGGCGCTCGACAAGGAAGAGATGGAAAATGCGATGGCGCACCTGCGCAATCTCCACAAATCCCTCGGCGACGAGCTCACAACCTTATGCAATGATCTTTGGATGGAGCGACTAGCCGACGACGACCACATAGGACTCATCAGTGACTTACAGACCCGCATAGCACACAGTCTTCCTTGGTTTCACGCACACACTTGGGATCTGGTAATGGCCATAAGAATGGTGATGGGAAGCAAGGAGGGAAGGATTGTGAACATCTTAGGCATCCCCGCCCTTTTGGAGCAACTGTCTGAGGTTCCGAAAGTGGATGACACAGTTAGAACGGACTATCTTGGACTGGTTAATAGAGCCAGAGTCTGGAAGCGATGTCAGGCAATTGTGGAAAAGCTTCACGAGGAGACTTAGGAGAACCATACAGGTGACTTCTACCCAACCAAGCTCCCATTGGGCTAGATGAGATGCAGAATGACGAAGGAGCACTTGTGGCTGCCTGAAAGGCTGCCTAATGCATCCCAGGGAGCATTGGATTCCAGACTTATAAGTACATTCCCGCCTCGAATAGTTCCCACCGCAACGAGGTAGTTTGATCATTAATAAATCTTCGAAGCATGTCCAGTACAGTCATCCAAATTTTGCACGAAACGGATCGGAAAACTTGGAGCTACGGATCTGATTATGTCGATGGGGCCCTGAGACTGTTCAGGGTGGACGACCTCCTCTCTCAGGATAGCACGATTGTCCTCTTGGAATGGAGGGATCTAGATGTGAGCCAAAGGGGCGACGGGTTCCCAACATATGCCGCAATCTCGCACTCATGGTCGCCCAGCGTCGAGGTCCAAAAGCTCAGCTCGATTGCCAATCGGCCTTTGGATATAGACATTGGGCAGGATGCGCCGCATCAGATCAGCTAGCACGACTTATGCCAGGCCGCCCAAGCCGCTCAGCATCTCCAATGTGAATATCTGTGGCTGGACTTCGTCTGTCTCCTTCAAACCTCCGCAAGAGATAAAAAGCTCCAGATCCACAACATGGGGTAAATATACAGGAACGCGGAGGCGGTAATTGTCATGCCTGGCGGTGTCGCCGCAGCCCAGGGTGCTGAGTACGAGGCGCCGTGGATCAATCGAGCCTGGACGTTGCAGGAGGCAACGCTCTGCGCTAACACACATGTGCTCTTCCTTCATTTTAACCAATTTCTGGACACCGAGTACAAGTACTTCATGTTCTACACCAATGCCAGCTACACGATCACCCACATAGACGGGGAACTTGCGTTGTCCCGGCTCCGTCATCTGCTCAATGATCGGTCGGGTGTGAAAATCTCCAAAATCAACGTTGAAACGGGGGAGGGGACAGGTTGGACGTTTGCCCCTCGCTGCTTTGGGGACGATAGTGCCGCTATTTCTGCGCTGCAAGGCGTCCTCGTTGGACAAACGCCCGCGATGGTGAGGTCCGCCGCGTGGCGGAGTATCTGGCTACGGACATCGACCAAGCCTCAAGACATGGTCTTCAGCATCATGCACGTCTTCGAGGTGCAGATTGATGTCGACTACGCACTCACGCGGGAGGACCTCATCCTCGAACTGGCAAGAAAGTCGGCTTCGGTGCCATGTTGGCTGGATATTGGGACCGACCTACCGTTGACCATCGGTATGGGTTGGTGCCTGCGCTCCCACCATTCCATCCCAACCACACTCCTGCCTATTCAGTCGGTAAGCACACCGTCCCCGTGGGAAACTATATCACGCGAGATCATTTCGTCCGGGATTTTGACATCAAGATACGGACACCGCCGACCGCATCCTACGATGGTGACTTGGTATGCGCCAAGATCTTCAAGGTCCATCATGACTCTTCCGGCAGACTGGCAATCTCTGACGGACATGGAAAGGAACGTGAATTAAAGGCGGACGAAGTCTCGGGATCTCATATCATGTTCATAGGAGAAACCAGCACGTACACCGGCAACGGACAGGCTGTCCCAATGCCCGCCGCTTGTTATCTTCGAAAGTCTGAGAAAGGAATCTGGGAGCGAGTTGGTGCAACGAAGATATCCGCGTTAGATCATCCTTTCATCTGGGAGATAGAGAGGCGCCATCTCCGGATAGGGGGATTTCCAGGGGCACAATTGACATTATGTGACAGGACCTGCTAGCTGTTAGGCAACCACTAGCAAAACAAAGAGGAACGGATACAGCCACAACAAAAATATCCCAATCAGTCACTTGTGATTGTTCTAAAGGCCTTTTCCCAGCCTTGTGAGAACTCTGGTGTACTCAACTCTATCTGGTTGCCCAAAACAGTGATGATTATGTAGTCGCCGAGACCTCAACCCACCATTAAAGACTGCAAACTCCTGACTTTCACTACCTCTCTCCACCCATTCGACATCCTCCTCCCTATCCACCTTGCTCCTATCTCCAAGATGGTATCCAGGTGGTTCATGGACGACATGTACTGCAGCATCTGCGGCGGTCCGCTCAGCTCCATAAGGCTACGCAGAAGCTCTACCCTGCAGCCTGGTGACAACGAAATCCGAGCCCATAACGATGACTGTACTCCAGCCTGTGGCTTGGTCAACGAGGATGACTACAAAGGACTCAACTATGGCCCTGAGAACCCAGACTTTGGTGAAGCGCACGACCTCCACTGCCACAAATGCTTCGGCTATGATGGCAGTATTGTGTCTGAAGAGGACATCGCCGTAAGGACCGGACCTGCGTCATAACCCCGGGACAGGATGATCAGAGCAAGCTGACGTAGTCCTAGTGGCTCGATAGAGTTATGATGCTGGATTCCCGCAATGGGACCTTCCATCTCTCGGAAATTGTGAGAGGCCAACCCTACGTTCACCTGCATTCCTTGTCTCCGTTCTCGCTGTTGGTTTGAACTCGCGCTGACCGAGAAACTTGGAGTAGTTCCGCTTGGAATTTTGGAACCCCGATGGAGTATTCCACTATGAGGACGGGCGGTCTACGTTTACGCCCAAGGAGAGCAAAGTCTATGTACACCACACCTGTGTGGAAATGCTTAAGATTGTCCACGACGCTACCAGGCAAGGACAAGGACCCCTGGATTTTCATCGTGTGGGCACCGCCATGCATGCTCGCCTCCGTGATGACAATGTCGACTGGGGGGACGACCCCAGGCTATACGGGGGAGCAGAGAGATGCCATGGTGATGTTTTCTGGGAGTCTGGATGGGTGCCTAAACGTAGTGAAGAGGTAACTCCAGCCTCCGATTGTTCTTACCGTCCTCAGGAGGCTAATATACCTTTTTCAAGTGCTTCGTCGCCGACCCGATGAAACCACCCAACTTCCGCGGCCTCGTTGACAAATCGACAACTGAGTCTGAAACCGCTCCACAGCACAGTTCTGTGGCTGAACTAGACAATGGCAACACTGAGGATCAGTCGACAACTGAGTCTGAAGCTGCTTTACAGGACAGTTCCGGCAACGAGTCTGTCACTGCAGGTGAAATGGACACTGACGACGACGAGAACGAGACCAGGACTAGGAATTTGATAGATACCGACTCTGGCGTTCAAGATCAGGAGGCCGCGGCAGAGACCGAGAGTACAACAGAAAGTGAAGCGGAGGCCGCACGTCAGGACCTCCTCGACAATCTCCAACGCGAGCGCCCCGGCCTCTCAGCCAGCCTCGACCAATTCGTGCAGGACCACATCATAGCAGAAGACCCAGCTCTCACCGATTTCCACTCCCGCATAACCAGGCACTTTCCTTGGCTTGCGGCATACACAGGCTCGCTCGTGGGTGAGATCTACCATGCGCAGACGCGGGGCCAGACAGTGGACTTCTTGACTATGCTCGAGGTGTTGGAGAAGGCGTCGGAGCACCCGGAAGACGATAACTTCGTCCGGGCCTACTATCTTGAGATTGCAAACCGGGCTAGGATCTGGAAATGCTGCGAGGCGATTCTCGAGGTATATGGAGCTTAGTAGCGCTGCCTACAAATTAAGGAAAGAAATTGTTACCTTATACTATGGGAGGCATGGACAAGTCCCATTAAGAGGTATGTTCTAAGTATGTTCTATGGTCATCAGGTACGTGCGTAGTACTACCGGGGACTCGGGATGGGCCTGCTTAACGCCGCTCTCTGCAGCTGGAGGGATCCTCAAGCTTCCCATATTCCAAGGTTTGTTATTTCGCTATTCTTCCTCAGGTCCCTGGCATGGTCTCTACAGTAAGACATACCCCGAATGCGACCCATCCACTGGAGAGTCAAATCAATCCAACCCTGACTATCTCTACAAGTTGGGCCACCGGTATGTCTCGCCAACACTGAAACAGCCCTCCAGGGCCTTTCCCTCTGTCAGAGCGCTGCTATCGCTGACAATGACCGTATAATCCCCTGCCAGACACTGACCCAGCCAGACCGTTGGCTTTGACCCTTCGACGATGTAGCTGACCCTGCCCACACCATGCAGGGTACCCTTGCTGACCACCACAGGAACAACCTCAACATCCTCCCCAGCTACACAACCTACTTCCACATCACCACAACCACCACCGCCCTCAGCACCTCCGCAACCTACATCGGCGGCATTCTAGCGGGCCCAACAATTCCTTCCATCGCCGACTCGCTCCCCCGCCGCACCGCGCTCCTCCTCGCCGCAACCACAACCCTCCTCTTCATCGCCCTCCAACCCGCCTCGCAAACAATCGCCATGTTCATCGCCGCCCGCATCACCTCGGCTTCGGCAAGTCCTGCACCATGGTCGTCGCCCCCACCTACCTCGCCGAGACGTTCCCGCACAAGGAAGTACCTAGGTACCATAATCAAGCATTCAGATATATGGGTCAAGGAGAACAGCAATCAGACACATTAATGGAGTCTATACTCATCTATATTCTCAGAAAACAAACAAACAAGCAAAGAACATTCACTGCCCCAGCACCCCCCTCAACCACTCCAGCCTCGTCCGCACAGCCCTCCTACTGATCCCCGCCTCCGGCACAAAAACATCAAAGCCATGATACGCCCCCGGCCAAACATGCAGCTCCGTCGCAACCCCATCCCCCCACAACCTCCTCGCATACTCCACATCCTGGTCCCGAAACACATCCGCCTCGCCAACATCAATCAGCGTCGGCGGCAACCCCCCCAGACTCTCCGCGCGCATAGGCGCCGTATACATATCCGCAAACTCGCGGTCCTTCCCAAACGCATAGTCGTTCACAGTGGCCAGGTTCTCCTTCGCCACGGGCGCAATGTCCCCATACTGCTCGATCGAGCGCGAGGCCATGCCATCGTCGACCCACGGGTACATGAGCACCTGGCCCGCGAGCCCGGGGCTGAGACCACGGTCCCGCGCGAGGAGCGCCACGCCCGCAGCCAGATTCCCGCCCGCTGATCCGCCCGCCACAACAAGCTTCTCCGGGTTGAAGCCCAGCTCCGCCGCATGGGCGGCCATATACCGCAAGGCCGCGTAGCTGTCCTCCAGCGCCGCGGGGGCCGGGTGCTCGGGGGCGAGCCGATACTCGGCGGTCAGAATCACGGCACCCAGCTCCTCGACCCAGTTGAGCATCGTGAAGCCGAGGAAGCGGTTTCCTGTTGCGAGGCCGCCGCCGTGGATGTGCAGGATGCCCGGGGTTTCGGAGACGGGGCGGGTTGGGGTCCTGGGGCGGAAGACTGTGGCGGTCATGGGGCCTGCTGGGGTGGGGATTGGGAATTCGGAGGTTGAGATTGTGGAGCTTTTGCCTTGGAGGGCGTTCTCGAGGGTGAACATGGGGGCTATGGCGGTGCGGTAGGCGGAGAGTTTTTCGGGGGTGTCGATGTCGAGGAATGGGATTGTGTTGTGGACGGCGATGAGCTCGGGGTTGAGGGGGGGTCGGGTTGAGGGAGACATTGGTGCGGTGGGTGGGAGGATCCTGGTATTGCTTGATAGAGTTGAAAGTTGGTGGAAGGCTTAAGGACTTGGAGCTGTGATGCTAGACTTCATGTTGCCATTTTCGAAGGTTTATATATCCAGAAGGTATACGGAGAGCAGATCTCGTAAGATCTCGATCGGCAACATCAGCAACCCTGATTGTCTCCGGGATTGCAGCCAAAAGTGCCCGAATCCCGCCGATCTGGGGTCCGAGACTCCATTCCATGCAGGTCAATGTCTCCGGCGCTAGGCTGACCCCGACTTAGGGCTGGCAACCCCGACTTAGGCTGCGTGTCGGTTCTTGCCAGCGGACGAATTACTGATCATACACTGCATGTCACTGGTATTGTCTCCGGCCAGTTACAAAGATGATTTGGAACCAGGAACAGATTCGTATTCCTCATCTGTCCGAGATCGGGACCTTCCTTAGGTGCTTACCCTACAGTGGGCCCTCGAACCCCAACCTCCACAATGAGCAGTTTGATTGGGCCCATCGTCTATTTAAGCATGCTACATAGATTCCGATACCTATGGTAAACCCGCGGAGTCAGGGATTCCAGATTCCATAATCCCGTCGGAGCACTATGTTCTCGAAATCTGCCCTAGCGGCCAAACATTATCCCATATCACGGGATACTGCACGGCTTCTATCTAGTCGGGTTTAGATTCTAGCCTACTCGTCAATAGCTTTTACAAAATTCTTTCACGGGGTAAAGTGTACCTAGTCTTATTGATGCAAATTCTGTTACAGTGTTAAGCTAAAATAACAAGAGAAAACATGTCTTTCAACACCATCCCAAGTAAGCTCTTACAAGCCCTCCTTGGCCAACAACATAAGAAACCCATCCCGCATCGTGTCAATGGTATCGCAGGGATCCTCCTCCTGTGCAGCACAGACAGAACCCATGTCACCAGCACAGCGGTAGTCCTCTGGCCCCCCCTGAACAACCCAGCAATTCCTAACTAACTTGGACATGACCTCCTGGCGGCGTATGGGGTCCCACACAGCGGCGGCAAGGTTCTGGGTGAAGAGCGACATGCGGCAGATATTGTTCTTCTTCTTAGAAAACACCTTCTTCCCCTTGATGTACGTCCAGACCCGTTCCACAGGCGAGTTGCCCCGGCGCATGCGACGCTTCGCCTTTTCGATGAGGTCGATGTAGACGGCGCGGTTGTAGGCGTAGTCCTCGGGCGCGTCGTTTTCGTCCTCGTCGTTGTCCTCGTCGTCCGAGTTCGCGATGAACAGGTATTCGTCCTGGTTCCAGTCCTCCGTCAGCCACAGGGGCAGCTTCTCGTTGCCGAGGGTGCGGGGCAAAGCGCCCACGCCATCCCAGTCGATAATCCCCTGCAGCACGCCGTTCTCGTCGACAATCATGTTCTGCATGTTGAAGTCGGGGTGGGACAGGACGAAGGGCTTTCCGCCGGACGTCGGCTCGGGGATCCACGCGATGAACTGGCGCAGGAGCGCATAAACTGCAACATTATATGGGCCTTTTGGGGCATGCACATCGATCATGAGGGTGTAGTAGTCCTTTGTGTCGCTGGATACAGCGCGCTCCTTGTACCAGGGACCTGGCTCATAGTTCTTTAGGCCCTCCATAAAGTCCCAATAGCGCAGGGGGCCGGTACGGGTTGGGTCGAGGGAGCCGTCCTTATTGAAGACGAGGGAGCCGCCGGTTGAAAAGGTGAATTTGGACAGTTGGACCATTGCCTGCGCGATGCCTTCGAGGGTGCGGGTTCGGCGGGCACGGATGGTTTCCAGGTCGAGTCCATCTTGCTTTTCGTACCACCACGTGTGGAGAGGAATGCCGGGGATATAGGTCATGACAATATAAGGGCAGCCGATGGGGTTGCTTATGGTCGGAGAGAAGTCCAGAACCTCGGGGAGGGGAATAGTTGTCTCGCGCTTGATCAAACGCATGGTTTGAGCTTCTGATATCATAGCTGAAATAGCCGGCTTGTCCCACTTGGCCTTCGTGCCGGCGAAAGGGAACTTGATGAGCCAGCGGAGGCCGCTTTTGAATGTCAATGGAAAGCAGACGTTGAAGGAACCCATCATGTGCTCGCCGATGGAAGGGGTGGAGGCTTTGCCATGAAGACGTTGGTGGAGTGATGCTGCTTGGAGGACCAGCTGCTCCTTGTTCAGCGCTTCGAGTACAGGCTCCCACGGCTTTACAGGCTCAGGCGAAGAACAGCGAGACGGAGAAGGTTGCGGTTCCTGAGTAGTCATTTTGGCTGTTGAGTTGAGATGTCGTTTGAAGTTGATGAGAAGTTGGATGGAAAGTGGATGGAAGTTGGATGGAACGTGGATGGAAGGTGATGGGAAGTTGAAGGGAATATGGATGGAAAGTGGACTCGAAGACGTCGACGACGTATTTATGGCTCGAGTCATCGAGTCCTAGAGCGAGGCAGTGAAAGCGGACACAAAGGAGAAAAAAGAGTGAAAGGGCAGCCCTGTGAATGGGAGTCTTCCAAAGAGAGCCAGGCCATGAGTGTGGAATGAAACCGCCATTTCTGCCATTGAAAGACGAACAAACGCAGTGAAACACAGACAAACAAAACATTCGTTTCAATTTACAAAGCCACAAGGGTATCGGATTGCCTTTTCTGTTTCCAATGTTCCAACGTAGGCCTTTATCCCTTTATAGCAAACTGTTTCATCCTTTATCCTGTCGTCTTTGATCAGTCCTCAACTTGAAAGGTCTTTATAGATTCCTGAAAGATAGCTGTCTACTACTGTACCATGGACAATGACAATCGAGTTCTATAAATTGCTCCTGTTGCCCACCACCAGCATAACCCTCCAGTTTCCATCAGATCCATCATCAGAGTACACAGCACAGCACATAACACACTAACAACGCAGCATCTGCGAAGATACAACCCAACCACAATTCTTATTACCACTCAGCAAATATGGGCCTAAAAACTCTCCCGACCGGTCACCACTGGTAAGTCAACCCCCGTCTCCCCGAAATAATGTGCAACCCCGCTGACTGAAGACAAAATAGCCCCGTCTGCCGCGTAGCCCCCACACCCAGATGTGAGCAAAAGGGGCATATGGAGTATTGTGCCACGCATGATCGCTACAGGGAGAGAGGTAGGACGTGTGATGGCTGCAACAAGGAGGCAAGGATGAAGATTGCTGAGGAAAGCAAGAGGAAGGAGCAGGAGCGCGAGGCCCTGAAGAAGAAACAGGCAGAGGAGAAGGAGCAGGAGACTTGGGGCCAGAAGAGTAAGAGGGCGCCCTGGAATCCAGAGGGGAAGAAGAAGAAGAAGTGAGCTGGACTCAGTTCTTCTTCTTCCCGTGGATTTCGGTATAGGTATGGGTATATGTCGCAGGTAGGTGTTGTTTCTTGATTTACAGCATTGAGTTTGCTACTTATAGAGAAATATTTAACAAAAAAAACAAAAAAATGGATTATATGGAGGAAAACTTGACAGATATCTAGTAGGGTTAGGCTTTGCTACTGACCAAAACTGTAGACTTTAATGGTTGTAATGGTTTAGTTCTCCAGAGAGAGCCAAGTAAGTGAGGTTGTGATAGAGCGCCATGAAGATGTTAGCCAGCTTTATTGCAATATAATTTGCTTAACCTTGTCTTCCGGGGAAGCGAATCATTCTCTATAAGCAGACCAGATCCTTAGGGCTGATTGATGTTTGTGCCTGAAGCTACAGGCATCTGATCCCAAAGCCCTAGGTGAGGTCTCCACCAGCAAGATATCAACTTCGAGAGGTCATACAGGTATGTATAGCAATTCTCGGATATTTCTGAATCAAATGGAGCTCTTTCATTTCCAAGATGGAATTCAGAAAGCAAAGAAAGGAGCTGCTGGCAGTGGTCCAGGCCACTTGAGGCTTCCCATCCACCCCGGAACTCCGAGCTCTCTAGGCATCACTCTAGTGCCTAGCCCATTGCATGTACTTTATCATAAATATAAATATACTCAGTTCCTGAGCCACTCTTATTCATCTTCCAGTATCATCCCTCCCCCATCCCCCCGTCCAAAATGACAATCAACCACATCTTCATCTGGGCAACCCCCACCAACCTCCCAACCCTGCGCACCTTCTACCGCACAATCCTCGCCCCCATCGGCTACAAAGAGCTCATCTGCGTGCAAAGCGCCACGCTCATCGGGTTCGGCAGCGACTATCCCTATTTCTGGCTGAAGGCGTTGCCCGAGGGGAAGAGCACGATGCCGGTGCATGTTGCGTTCGATGCGCCGAGTGAGTTTCCCAGCTAGGATACTATGATATATGTAAATGCTAATGACCGATCTATAGATTGGGCGGCTGTTGATGAGTTCCACCGGCTTGCATTGTGGGTTCCTCCACCTGGTATGGGGTTAAATGACACTGACGCTGACACTTGGTGTAGGGAGAATGGGGCGAAGGATAATGGGGGGCCAGGGGTTAGAGAGGAGATGAGTCGGCAGCCATACTATGCGGCGTTTGCGGTTGATGTGGATGGGAATAATGTTGAGGCTGTTTGTGCGCCGAGGGAGGCGAGGAAGAGGTGACATGGCAGTCTATTGTGAATGTCAGGATAAATACCGGTTTGTATTTAATTGAATGATGGACAGTAGCTACTCATTACGTATACGAACAACTCTGTTTACTAAGATATAATGCTGTGTCCGAGCCTCTTTAGGCCTTAGGGCTATTGTGGTGAAGCTTGTAGGCAGTTCAGATGCATTGTCTTTACCACTGAGCCCTAACTGAGTACAAAACAATCGACCAAATCTACTACAAGTCTTCTCTAAAGCAAAACCACGGCGAAATCTTCTTTCTACGCACATACAAGCGTACTACTCCTCAAGCCCCCTCAACTCCAAATACTGCGCAATCAACTGCCTCACCGTCTCCTCAAACCCCGTAAGCCTCCACCCAAACACTCTCTCCGTCTCCCTCGCATCCAGCCTCCACCTGATAGTCTCCAGACTCCCCCGACACGGCAAAACACCCCTCTCAACCTCCCTGCCAAAGTACCTCCTCGCAACACCCCTCACATCCCGATCCCACTCGACCTCCTTCCCCGCCTGGTTATCCGTATCACTCGCAAGAATAAACTCGCTACCCCCCCGCACCTTGCCACAGTCCACCGCGTCAACATGCGCCCTCGCCACATCGCCAACATGCACCGGCACCGCGACGTACGGGAACGGCGAGGAGAGATCGGTTGTCAGAGCGGGCGCAAGCACAGACGCGCGCGTTCCGTCGAGGAGCGCAGATGCAGGCTGTTCGTTGGAACTCGACGGGAGCAACCGGTCGTCTGGCCCGACTACGACGCCTGCGAGGAGATTTACGACGTCGAAGTGCGGCTTGTTCTTTGTAACAAAGTCGTGCGTTGCGCGTCGCGCTAGACCCTTGCTGAGCCAGTAGGCTTCCATGGGGGATGATGGGGTGGTGTCCAGGGCTGGGTTTAGGTCGTTTGCTAGAGATGGATTTAGTGATCTGCTAATCATTGTCTTTGATGCGAAGTAGAAGGACAGGGTGGCATACGTGTATAAACCCGCTCCGTATCAGGATGCATATTCCACTCGAACGGGATGAGCGTCACGCACGACGACGTAATGACCACCCGTTTCACACTGGGGACTCTCGTGGCGGCTTCCAGGAACGTCGTGACCATGGAGATCGCGGGCTGAATGATATCGTCGTCGTAGTTCGTTGTCTGGACGGCTAGCGGGCTCGCGAGATGGATTACTGCTGTTATTCCGTGCAGGACGTTGAATATCGCATCTGGTGCGAGGAAGTCCGGGACGACGGCGAATTCGAGCTGGCTGGATTTCAGAGCGGGTGCGATGACGGTGGGGGATTTGTTCTGCAGATCGAGGACATGGCTCTCTTTGCGGACGAGGGCGCGGACAGTGTACCCTCTTCCGAGCGCGATGAGCAGGGTTTTGAAGCCGATGTAGCCGGAGACACCGGTGATCTGTGGTGGTTAGCTTGTGATTCTAAGGGCGAGTGGATGGAATTGGTGGCGTATGTACGAGGAGTTTCTCGGAGGAGATGTCGAGGGGCATAGCGGGTGAAAGTTGTGAGAGGAGATAGAAGGCAGACAAATCGCTTGATTCAGATAGATTGAGGGAGAATGAAAGAGCATCCAAGCGGACTTTATACACCTGGGCAAGCAGTGTTTCATGCATGGATGCAGTGTCCCCACCGAGCCCGGAGTTCCGTGTATAGCCCTAAGTCGTGAACCACCACCCCATCTAGAAGCCAACCAGGTCAGCACTTCCTATCTCCATCCTATGATTATCTCCATCAGATCGGTCCCACTCTGATCTTAACTCCAGCCTCCCTCAGCCCCTCCACGTACTCCATCCCCAACGACGACGGCGTAAAGAACCCACCCTTCCCAGCTCTCTCCAACCCAGCTCTCTCACCAAGTAAAACCTTCGCCCCAACGCACGCCAGCAACGCCGTGAACTCATACAGCGCGCCCTGTCGGACAAAGCTCGCCTGCACCACTGGGACTTTGTCTTGACCCTTTTTAGCGATAAACCCAACAGCACGGTACTCCGCACTCTCAAGACGCCTCAACTCGTCCTGACCCGGAAGAGACTTAGTCGGGTCAACGAACCATCTCAGCATCGACCTCACAAGCGGGATGGAAATCAGAAGAATTGCAGCTTTTGTGATTAGATGGATTAAGCATGCGGATCTCAAGCCAGCCGCAGGGAGGTACTCCTCATAGTGGAAGTTCTGTCCGTATAGCTCAGGGTCTTGAGATGCGCTGCGGTGCACCATCGAAGCGTTGCCGGGGCCGGTGAAGGATGTTGACAGGGGACCGAGAATCGGGACATGGCGGTAACCGAATAGTCGTGAGACGAGAGATGGCTTGGGCTTGGGCTTGGGCTTTTGCGCTGGATCCGAGAGAACCCAGGAGTTTCCAGAGATATACCACCCAGGTCCCCATGTCTCCAGGCTGTCGAGGACGGTCGTGAGGGAGCCGGCACTCATTGCCTTGATGCTGTAGCATGCATTAGCATCCTGCCTACGCCAACCGTGATGAGGACGTACTCCAGTTTCCCCGTAGCGACAATCTCCTCTGGCCCAGTCGAATATCGTTCTCTGATCTGTTTCGCTATCAACCATGCAATGAGATCCGCCGGTGCGGTTGGCGAGATACCCGGTATGAGCTTCACTGAGCATTAGCACAAACGCCCTCCAGCTTCCCCATCTCCTGGGCCGGAGATGAAGATGGAATCCATACAATCGCACCGCTCTCCCTCGCCACATCCTCAAACCGCTCAATCAGCTCTTTTATCCAGAGCGTCTCGGTCGTACTACCAAGGCACCCCATCAGCAACATCTCCCCAAATCAAATCACGTCGGCGGACACATACAAATCAACATAACAACTCCCTACCCGCGCACAAGCACCCACAATCCCGCTTGAGAAGCGATGAAACGGCCCGACGCCATTGATCACGACTTTCGTTCTGCCTATGAGCGGCGCAACACTTCTCTCCTCCAAGTCATTCAGGACTTCGATTTCTACACGGATCTTGTCAGCAACGATCCTGCTTTCTCAACCATCTTCGTACCCGGTTGCACTCGATCTGGAAACCGGCTCTGCAGACTCCGCGCTAGACTCCTGAGACGTGCCTCCGAGCGTCCTGCCAAACACCAGCGGATGCTTGTGGGGTAGTGTTCGGCGATGAAGGAAGCGCAGAGTTTGCCTGTGTACCCGGTTGCGCCGAAGAGGGTGAGGTCGTAGTTGGACATTGGAGTGACTGGCGAAAAGAAATGGAGGGAACTGATGACTGAAAATGAAGTATAGAACCCGTGCGAAAGAGGTGGATTGATCGTGATGTGCTAATGCGGTATCTCAACTGCTTTTATAGGCTGAATGCGCAGATGGAGACCGGAGATTAGGGCTGAGAGTTGCCCGCGGAGTTCCGGGTTCTGCAGGTTAGGTATAGGTATAGCTAATATAAATATACCATATATCGAACCCCAATTGCTACCTTCCATGGCAGCTCTAAAGCCAAATGCCAAATGCCGTGGTCACTTCAAGGCTTTGGAATATTGTAACCACCGGGCACCTGAGAGCTGTCTACTGGAGCTTACTGGTGAGACTCGGTGAAGATGTGCTCCGGCAATAGTTCGCAAGAGATGTAGACGCGGCAGCAAAGGAAGTCCGTGATGAGATGATGGGAATGAATACACATTCTTACCTCGACATAGGGACTTGATGTCTGGGGGCATCCCAGGCATTGAACCATGCAGCCCTAAGGGGCCAGCGTCAGATCTGACCGGCCCCTAAATGTGGATTTATGTGGGCATCCAGCCCAATCTAGGCTCCACTAGAAAGACTGAAAACTGGGAGCCGTACAGCGCGACGGCGCAGACGGATTTGTTCGTGTGGGCGGCGTTGGTGTTTGAGCTTCTCACGGGGGAGTTGCCGGTCGAGGACAAGGGGAGGTTGAGGTGAGGGCTATTATGGTGAATAGGGCGTGGCCGAGATTGGAGGGGGGAGGAGCTGGGGCGGGTTTTAAGCAGGTGTTGGGAGTTTGGGTATGTTGATGCTGGTGCGGTCAAGAGGGATTTTGAGAGCTGTGTGAGGGAGCAGGGGTGGGAGGCTGAGGGGGAGTATGGAGATGAGATCAGGGGGATTGATGTGGTTGGGATGTGAGGAGGTAGGGGAAATATGATCATTGCACCCTCTGAACCGGAGCAGGAATCCGACAACTTCGTAGGAAAGGGTGAGCAAGCCATACTATATACCTAAGGCTCCGGTATAGATGAAGCAATTGAAGATCATAGTACTCGGGCATCCATCGTCGATTTATTCTAGCCTGTTTAATCAATACGGCGATGTAAGTGACTGGGTGACTCCATAACAAAAGAAATATTTGCACAAGATCGCATAGGACTATCTTCCCATCCATAAAACCGAATCCCGAAGATGCTAAAAACACAAAAAGAGTACACAAATAAGCAAGATATAATCACATCCCAATGCAAAATACAGCCGGTGGCCTGCAACTAAGCTCCCCGCGCATGGCCACCCCCGCGCATCCGCTTTCCACCTTCGTTTCCGCCGTCCGTTCCGTCCTCCCTGGCTCGCTTGTTGCCCTGCGGGACGAACTGGCGGGCTCCAGCGTTGAGTGCACCTCGGCCGGGACTGGCTTGCGCTTGGGGTTGTCCCTGAGTTTGTCCTTGTTGCTGAGCGTTCTGGTGTCCGCCTCTACCCTGGCCTCCTCGTCCACCGCGGCCACGAGCAATGCCACTACCACGCTGGGCTTGTTGCTGCTGCTGAGGCGCCTGCGCCGGACCCTGACCCTGTTGTTGGGGCTGCCCGAAGGGGTTCTGCTGATGAGCGCCGCCACGACCGCCGGCTCGTGCGCCGCGCGCGACGGGAAGTCCAGACTGCAATGATCGAAGGACGCCGCCTGCTCCGGCTGCTCCAGCAGCTCCAGGTGGTGGTTTGTTGGGCAGGTTCGAAGCTTGTGGCTGTGGTTTGTTCTGAAGCTGGCCAAATGGGTTGGGGACGCCACCTGTAGCAGGAGCAGCGCCAGCTGCAGGGCCCTCTTGTGACTGTAGTGGTTGTTGTGCCTGCTGACCACTCGGTGGAGGTTGAGATTGAGGTTGAGGAACTGCAGGAGCAGTCTGTGGGGCCGCGGCCGGGGTTGGAATTTGAGCTTGGGCTTGGACCGGGGCATTTGTTTGCTGGACAGCTGCTGCTGGGGGGGCTGTAGGTGCAGACTGTGCTGCAGATTGTGCCACCTGTGGTGCAGGAGAGCCAACTTGGGCCGGAGTCGCCGGCGAAGGCTTGGGAGTTTGTGGCTGCGCAGGCGGAGCTTTAGCGACCTTTGCAACCTCCCATACCTCGACGACGGGCTTCTGCGGTGTCTCGGTGGCCGCCTTCGACACGACATCAACCTTGGCCTGTGTGTTTCGGTACCTGGAGTCAAGCATGCTGATTCTAGCCAGATACTTCTTATCCGATAGCTCGACGGCAGACTTGATCTTCTCCTCAACACCTCCTTCATGCGCTTTCTTGAACGCCTCCCGCTCCTCGTTAAATCTTTGCTCCGCAGCTGCCACCGCCTCCTGAGTAGATTGAGTCTCTTGCCCTTGCTTCTCCTTCTCCTTGGCAAGTTGCTGTTTGATGTTGTTGCGAATGATCGTGCGGATAGTCTCGTTCCGTGCAACAAGCTGTCTGGCCTGGGCATCCGTCAATTCGGGGAGGCTACCTTCCGCCTTGCTTGGGGTGGCGGGAGGTTGTTGGTTAGCTTGTGGTGTTGCTGGGGTTTCTTGAGTGTTTTGGGCACCCTCCTGGGCTCCGCTCTGGGCGGCTGTCAAGCGTTCGACCTCCTGTCGATGGTTGGCCCTAACCTCGGCCATCTTGTTGTTGAAAAGCTCCTTCATCCTCTCTACTCGTTCTTTAATCTTGGTCTCATGCTCGGCGTCCTTAGCAGCCAGAACACCGTCCTTCTCGGCAAGAGCGGCTTCCAGGCGCTGAACCTTCTCTTCCAGAGCCTTGACGCGTTCGTCGTCCGTCGGCGCTGGTGCTTGTGTGGTGGGAGCAGGGAATTGCGACGCCGGTGTGGAGTTGACAACTGTACCCTGGTCCGCTGGCGCATCAGGCTTCTCGGCGAGCTTAGTCTTCAAAGCATCCAACTCCTCCTTCGTTGTCTTCAACTCTTCCTGAAGTACTTCTTTCTCCTGAACCACGGCATCCAGCTCAGTTTGCTTGGCAACGACACGACTCGTCAATTCCCTGGAACGTGCCTTGAATTGTTCCGTAAGTTTGGAGCGAAGGTCCTGCGTCCTCTGCTCGGCCGCGCTCAACTGCTCTGGGAACGTTTCAATCTGTTTCTCAAGGGCTTCACGGGCCGAGATAGCCTCGTCTCGTTCCGTCTTCAGCTTCTCCAACTCCTGTTTCAATTCCTCCATTTGAGCTGGGTCCACTCGGTCGTATTTCTGAAGAATGTTCTGCGTTCGTTGCTGCCAGTGATCCCTATCTTGCTGTAAGAGCTTCATTTCTTCATCCTTTGCCTCGACAGCGTCCTCGAGTTGCCTGATTTGGGTCTCCAGAGGGGCAATTTTCTGCTCTAATTCATCAACGCGAGCAGATTTCTCAGTAAGGGCAGCCTTGGTCTTCTGAAGTTCGCTGCGCAGAGTCACACTACTTTCACGGAAGATGTTGAGTTCGTTCAACGTATTCATGAGCTTTTCTTGCTTCAAATCAGTGTGGGTACTGTCAGCATCAGCCTGACGAAGCTCTTCAAGACTGACACGCGCCTCATCAAGCTGACGTTGAGTGTTTTCAAGCTGCTGGCGCAGTCGTTTGCCCTCTTGCGTAGACAGGTGATGCTGAACTTCAACAATCTCTTTCTCGCGACGCAAGTATTTGATGACCTCCTGCAGGCCTTCGAGGTTCGGCGGAACCGCCTCGCCATCCTCCTGCTCGTTTTCAGCGATACTGGCGCGGTCCCGTTGCAGAGCTGAGATCTGCTTGGTGATGTTCTCGATTTGGGCGTGAAGCAGGTTGTTCTGATGTAGCACTTCGTCACGGCGCTTCTGTAACTCCAGAAGCTCGCTTTCGTACCGGTCCTTGCGCTCATTCCAGCTTTCCTCCTTCTGGACAATATCTTTCCTGTAGGTCTCAGCCTGAGTACGCAGTTCAACCGCTTCCAGCTTCAGCTGGTTGGCTTCAGCCCGGACCGTCTGGAGGTTCTTGGCAGCTTCAGCGTGCTTGACCAGTTCACTCTCGTAGTTTTGCTGGGCATGCTGTGCAATCTCCGCCTGGGCCTTGAGGTCCTCCTGATGATATTGAGCTGCTGCGATTTGGCGTTCGTTTTCCTCCGTGAGTCTGGCAATATCGGCTTCCAGGCTGGCCTTTTGCTCCTCCAGACGGCGAGTAGCTTCACTCTGGCCGTCGCGAAGTTGAGAAAGCTCAGTGTTGGTTGCGGAGAGTTCAGAAGAGATCTCTTCGATCCGTTTCTCCAGGTCCTGGATCTTCGCATCCTTCTCCTTAACGAGAAGGTCGGTCTCTTCGCGGTACTGATCGTTGGTGTCAGAAACAGACTGCAGTCGTTCTTCAGTCGCCTGGCTAATCGCCTTATAGTCTTCAACCTGTTCTTTGGCATGTTCCAAATCAGTCTTGGCCAGTTCCAGGTCGCGTTTCAGCTCAGACACTTCCATGCTAAGTTCTTGCTCTCGGGTCAAGCCGGACTCGTGTGATCCTTCAGGAGCGGTGTCAGCCGCAGCCGCAGAAACGCTCGGTCGCGACTGGAGGACTTGGAGACGTTCCTCTGCACTGCGAAGCTCAACAGTGAGTTCGTCAACGCGGGATTGTAAGTGATCTCTGGTTGTCTTGACTGCAACTAGTTCTTCCTTCGCGGAGCTCAGGCTTGTAATCAGATCGTCAATACGCTTCTGGTTCTGCTCATTCTCATATTCGCGTCGAAGGGTGGCCTTCTTGGACTCCTCAACCTGCTCGTTCAATTGCCGTTTCGTTGTCTGCAACTCTGACTCGAGGGTCTCCACATTTTGCTGAAGGCGTCTGCGAGATTCCGAGTCTGCGTGCTCCCGCTCGTTTAGGATGTTCTGTAAGTTGGCATTAAGCGAATCCAGGCGGCTGCGCTCGTTCCTCAGGGTCTCATTGTCCTCAATCAGTCGTTTCTCAATGCTCTTCCACAGTGTCTTTTCCGCCTTGAGGTTAGCACTCTCACGCTGAAGACTGTCAATAAGGCCCTTGGACTCGACAAGATCTTCTGCGGCTTGCTGTGTCTTGAGATCCTGGCGGTTGGCGTTCTCGAACAACGTCGCGTAGCGTTTTTGCAGCTCTGCGTTCTCCGTCTTCAGCATATTGAAGTTGCTCTGGAGAAGCTCAGCTCGTTGAGTAGCGGCAACAAGTTGACTGCTTGAACGGCTAGTCTCACTCATCAGTTCGCTGTTCTTGCGCGAGAGCTCGTTGACCTGCTGCTTCAAAGACGCGTGGTCTGTCGCTGTCTCCTCCCTGAAGCTATCGAAGTGTGCTTGGACCTTGCGCAGCAACTCGGCATAGTCAGGGACGCCCTTCGCTTCGTCGGAAGCCGGGGGGGCGGCGCCGAGGGGAAGGGACTGTGAGAACACAGCATCGCCACCAACCGTTTGCCGTCGGCGCGTCAACATGCTGCGGAAAGTATCGCGTTCTTTGACATAGCTCTTGGTCTGAGCAATGAGGTTCGCGATTTCGTCCCGATATGTCTGCACCCGAATCCTCAACTCCTTCAGTTCCTCCTGTTCCTGCTGCCGGGTAACATCCTTTTCACGCGCTTCTGCTCCTTCCATCTTATCTCCTAACTCTCTCAACATGCGACGTAGCGTTATATTCTGCTCCTGAAGCTCGTGAAGATCCTTAAACGTCATCAGGTTCTGGCTGATGAAGCGCCCTGTGGGGGTAAGGTCGGCCGAAGAGTCTTCGATTTCTTTGCGAGCGAGCTTTTCGAGTTCGTCACGGTCGTAATTTGACTCACCCTCCTTCAAGAGAGTGACTTCCAACACTAGAACCTTGATTTGGGAACTTAGGTCTCTCAACTGTTGTCGCAAAATGTCACCCTCGCGCGCCAACCCTTCCACCTGGCCCTGCCATTTCCTGCTTTCTTTCGTGGCCTCCTCCCGTTCTTTTCCAGCGGTATCGAGGATATTCGACATCTCAACAACTGCATTCTCCAGACGGGCGTGATCTTCACGGAGCTCGTCGATCTCAGGTTTGCTAGCTTCAAGATCCTGAACCATCTCGTCCAAGGCGGACTTAAGTTCTTGGTTGGTCTTTTGCTCCGCAGCAAGCAGTGTCCGCATCTTGTCGTACTCGGTATACATTTGTGTGAGAGTAAGGTTACCCTTGGTTCGCGATGTACGGGGCGAGAATGTGCCGAGCGGGGTGCTAGGGCGGACTGGCGTGCCTGGAGTACCGTTCAATCCACGAGCAGGGCTCATGGACCTACCTCCAACTGCACCCTCAGTCTCAAGCTGGTTGATGGCCAGCTCAAGCTCAGCAACGCGGCGCTCTGCGGCCTCCTTATCACTGTGTTCGGTCTCGATCTCAACCCTCAGGCGTGAAACCTCCTCCGCCGCATCCTCTCGCACCTTGTCCAACGTCAGCTGGCATTCTTGTACACGCCTCTTGGCTGTATTCGCAGCGTTTTCCTGTAGCTCCGCCAGCCGGTTCGCGCTGTCCAACTCTATCCGGAATGACTCGGCAGCTTGGATCGCTTCTTCCTTGAGCTGCTGGATACTAGAGAGAGATTCTTCGTAGCGCTGTTCGACTTCGTCCAAGCGGCTTTTGAGAGCATTTTCGCTGCGCCGTAAAGTCTCCGTTGCCGCAATAGCCTCTTCGTTTTCACGCTGAAGTTCTGCGATCCGGGCACTCTTTTCCTTGCGGAACTTGAGATACTCCGCGGACTTCGTTTTCAGCTCCGTCTCAAACCACTCATTGTTCCTCTTTGTCAATTCCAGCTCGTTCTGGAGACTCTGTTCGCGGAGCTTGGCGCTAGCGGAAGCTGAGTTTGCGGCCTGGAGATTCTGCTCGGCTGCGGAAAGCTCGCGTCGTAGTTCAATGGTCTTTTTGTGGTGAGTAGATAGTTCCTCTGCGAGTTTATCGTACGCTGCCGATTTAGATTCAAGCAGCGCTAGAGTATCGCGGTTTGAGGCTTCAAGGGAGGTTATGCGGGATTTCAGAGAACTAAGTTCGGAGTCGTTCGACGTCGACGATGACTTTAGCGTCGCAATCTCGGACTCTAAGGAAGATCGGATGGTTTCTAAACAGTTAGTATAAGTTGGAAGCACCGAGCGGTGAGATTAATACCTGATTCATGAAGTTTCTTTCTTGTTTCCTCAACCTCCGCGTGGCCCTTCTCGACCGATCCTTTCAGCACCTTGATCTTGGTCTCGCTGCTGCGAACGGCACTCTCAAGCTCGACCTCAAGCCGAAGCTTATCAGATTTCAGTTCATCGTGTTCTCGCGCCTTCTTGGTGATAGCTTCCAGTAACTGGTTGACAAGTTCGACCGTCGGAGCTTCAGTGAGCGTGCCCAGAGTCGACTCGGCAATGGCGTAATGTGTCGACAAGAAAGGCAATTCGATTGTAGCGGCAGCCATATTGGCTGTTGGATAGTCGCAGCAATCAGCTGCCTTGAAGTCTCCAACCTACAGCCAGGGTTGTCGCGATGCAATGGTGGCTGGTTCATCTCAAGTTCAGGTAGCTCTGCCGCCGAGTTCATTGTTTGAATGAAAGTCACATGACGGTAGGTAGCTCACCATTCACCTGCAACTCACTTCACTTCCAAGCAACCCCTGCACTTCACAGCAATCCCTTTATTGTCCAGCTTTCTCGCTTCAAGTGATAAATAAAGCCTTCGCCCACCATGGATAAAAAAGCGTTTCACCTATATTCAATATCTTTTGTCTCTTCTTACTGCCCAAGACCTTTACATCCAACCCCTCCAACAGTGAAAGCTTTTTCATTTATAGATCATTTCAGACCTGCTTCCCATGATTACTTGGGCTTATAGCAAGTGATAGGGCTGAGTTCTCTTCATCTCGTCTCTCATTTGAGGTTTGTATACTGCCCCAAGGTTCATCCCGAATTAGCTTAGCGGCCTTGTCACGTGCTGTCACTCAGCCTAGAACTTCTGAGCCTCAAAGAAGCGTCATCTCTTTGAATCACTCACTCCTGCACTCAACAACGTTCGGCTTTGTCCGGCTGCACCATATTTCAGGAGCGCACTCCCATCTCTGACCGCATACTCTCACTTGAAAACGTCATATGATAACCTCAGGTTCCGCATAGAGTCTGTACGGGCTCTGACGAGCCGAGTCTCGCCTCTCCTCTCCACTCGACATCCCACCTCAGTCTTTCCCTTCGTCAGCGTTGCTCGAAATCTCTTCGCAAACCGCAAAGATGGCGCACCTTCAGCAGCAGCTCAAAAACTTCAACGCGGGTGTCATGGACTATGCAAAGTCCATGCCGGCCCAGCGACGATTCGTTCACAATCCCTCCACAACCACTTCCCAAGCCCCGTCCGCAAGTTCGACTCCCGCCCCTGGCGGTAATATTGATCAGAAGAAAAAGCGCCACGATGCGGACATCGTCTATTCCCAGCCTGCCAATACCGGCACGGGCAAAGATATCATGACGCAGGTCGTCTTTGCTATCGAGCACATGAAGAACAAGGGTGTTCCGCTTACGTTTGTCGATATCGTCTCCTACCTTTCGCTGCAGCATCGGGCAAATGATCAGGGATATATTCAGGCACTGCGGAGTATCCTTCAAATGCACGAAAAGGTGCAATTCGATCCCAGCGGAGCGAATGGAGAGGGCACATTCAGCTTCCGTCCGCCGCACAATATCCGAAATGCTGAGCAGCTACTCCAGAAATTGCAGGCACAATCTACGGGAGTTGGAATGAGCGTTCGAGAACTCCGAGAGGGCTGGCCGAATGTCGAGGACGCGATCAACCAGTTGGAGAAGGAGGGCAAGCTGCTCGTGACGCGGAACAAAAAGGATGACCACGCAAAGATGGTGTGGGCCAACGATCCTTCGCTTATTCAACACTTCGACGACGAGTTCAAGCAGATCTGGGAGAAGATCAAGATTCCCGAACAGCAGGTCGTCAAGGAGGAACTGGAGAAAGCTGGTATCACTCCGACCAACAAGAATAAGGTCATCAAACCGCGGCCCAAGGTTGAGCACAAGAAGGTGAAGAAGCCTCGTCGCAGCGGCAAGACTACAAACACTCACATGATGGGCGTCCTGCGCGACTACTCGCACCTCAAGCGGTAGAACGCGCCCTGCCCGATGAGCCTCTTCAGATCATCGTCCTGGCACTCGAATTTTTCTCATCCGAAAATATTAATCATTCATGCATCTACCGGCGTTCAGTTCAGTCAGGGAGTTACACAGTGGGACGTTTCTCGTGTCGCGCTTTCATTCAGCTATGTCATGATCTGTAAATTATCATATTGATTAGGGCCAAAAAAGATAGATACCCTAATAACGACAATGAATTAAACAGAATAACCATCATATATCATTTCAACCGTCTAATCTATCCCAAAGAGTGGGGTATTGATATTCTCTTCCCTAATGAATTCTACAGTCCAAGTATATAGAGATGTGACAGCCATGTACCCTAAGCCAAACCGAAGAGCATATCCCGAAACTGTACAGATAAGCAACGCAAAGCACTGAAGATGCATGGGGTCATCAGTGCTTCCCATTGACGCCCTCGGGCTGCAACGGGCCCTCTGTCCGCTCAACATACTCAACCAGATCCTCAATAGTGCACACCTTCAACCCCCACTTGCGCCCAAACTTCAAACACCCATCGCGCCTCATCATGCCATTGTTCCCTCGGATCTCGGCAACACCCTCAACGATCTCGCCGTCCTCAACAAGCTCCGCAATAACACCAGCCGGAGCCTTACCCGCCAGTCTGCAGAACTCAACGGCAGCCTCTGTGTGACCCGTCCGTTGCCGGATGCCGCCGGCCTTCGCCTGCAGCGGGATTATGTGACCTGGTCGGCGAAAGTCTTGCGGTTGGGCGGAGGGGGAGGCGAGGGTTCGACAGGCTAGAGCGCGGTCGTGCGCGGAGATACCGGTTGTGATAGAGGGGTCGGCGGAGTCAATGGAGACTGTGTAGGCGGTTCCCTTGGGGTCGGTGTTCTCGAGGACCATCTGGGGGAGCTGGAGGCGGTTGGCAATCTCGGGGGTGATGGGTGCGCAGATCAGGCCGCTGCATTGCAGGACAGGGCGTTAGCTTGGGGTAGGCAAAGAACGAAAGCAAGTGCATGCGCTTTCGATTGTGATTTGATTGTTGCCCAATTCCTTCGATCTCGGTTCGGATTTGAGTACGGGAAAGACGGCGCACTGACCTTGTGTAGCGGACTAGGAATGCCATTTGCGCGTCTGTTATAGACTCGGCGGCGATAATGAGATCGCCTTCATTTTCGCGGTCTTGGGAGTCGAGGACGACGATGAATTCCCCGTTCTCTGGGTGCGGGGTGCATTGTTAGCCTAGCTGGATTTGAGAGCGGCTGAACAAACATTCGGGCAATCATATAGCTCAATTGTAGCTGCGAAGCCATAATTTAACCAAGCAGAGCTCGAATCACTCACTGAAAGCTTTAATTGTATCCTCGATGGAGTCAAACTGAAGCGCGGGGTCCGTCGGCGAAGGCATTTCGGAGATAGATATTTCTCGGAGATGGTGGCCCCGAGGAAAGAGAATTTCGAATCGAATGGGTTCGTGCGCCCGATGCAGGTTCTAATCCAGGTATATGTACACAGTCAATCGCGGGCTTTGGAGGGCGACGAAGGTAGAAGTTATGGGTGGCGGTTTTTTGAGTTCAGCGGGGATCCTCGGTGATCTCGGGGGGCTGCGGGGTGAGGGCGTGCGGTTTTTCGTCTGGCGAGAACCGTGAGGAGAAAACGTTTTGAGATTTGGATGTCCGCGCTGGGGTTGTGACAAGATAACGCAATCGTAGAGTATGGATCTGAGTCAAGGAGATGCTGACAGAAGGTGGAGGAAGGCGATTGCAAATGGTTTGTCAGTCGACTCAGTCGTCTCTATCAAATCCACTTTATCCACTTCCGCGGCCGCCGATGCCTACTCCGATACACTGGACTTTGAAGTCTATTAGACTGTTGGCCCAACCCTAAGAATAAATGAGATATGGCAGTCGCTGTAATCACTGTATTCAATGGTCAATCTCAGCTGGTCATATGTTGAAGCAGTTACATGCGATGCTGACATCGGGTTGCTGATCACGTTCAAAAATATATACCCGCGCTGATAATCACAAAGTCTATATAGGGCGAATGAAGAAAAGCTATCTAGACGTACAAATAGACCCGCTAAGTAAACCCCGCATAAAACAGAATGTAGTCTGGTCGCCAGTCTTAGACGAAATAAATGAGCAACATGTCAAACTTGAGGGAACCTAGCCCTTATGAACTTGGGAAGCCAGTATGCAAAGAAGGAAAAAGTCGTTAGAGACCGAAGTCTCCCATCCGCCGCACCTCGTCAGCTTGTGTCTCTAGAGCTCTTCGCATCATTTTGGAGTATTCTCGTTCGCGCGCTTGTAGCTCGCGCTTTCTAGACCGCACTTCTTCACGTGTGGCGTCATCGACGTCCCCATCAAGAGACATTTCGTCGTCTTCGCCGATCTCGTCGGCATCCGGTGTATCAGAGAACCTAATTCGGCCTAGACGATCTCCTGTCCAAACGAGAAGCTCGTCGCCAGTGAGATTGCCCCCTGTTGGAAGGATTTTTCTGGCAACATCTCCTTCGTTTTGAGCGCGAGACACACTAGCCCACAGTCCGCTCACATCATGCGTACTGTCGTCATTATGAGATTGAGCGTGGCCGTCGGAATTAAACGCAGTCCCTGCAGGGGGACGATATGAATTGATGTTTAGACGACGAACTTCAGTGCGGCCATCACGCTCAACCCACTTGATATTGCCATCTCCGTCGGAATACACAATTCGAGTACCATGGGATTGAACGGATAGGATTTTTGAGCGCGCCGCGCTTTGCCGATTTTGATATGCTGTTGTAAGGCTAGAGGAGCAACCTGATGGTCCGCTTTCACCATTTTCACCAGACGGCGTGAGATTATATAATTCAAGAGAGCCCTTCCCATTGTATTCCCCACAAGCAGCCACAGTGTGTGAGGCTGGGTATTTCGAGCTGGAAAATACCGGAAACCGAGGCGCAGGGACCGAGACAAGACCGCAAAGTCGCCCACCTGAGTGAACGGTGCTTTGTAGCTTTGGGAAGTAGCGACGATCATATTGAAGTATACTTGGAAAGCGGCCCGCAAGAAAGATCGAGTTCACATGCGGAGCGGGAGGATGTAGAACTGACAGAGGCCCTGGCTGAAACAGTGGTGCATAGTTGTCACTGGCTTCAGACGGATCCGGGCTTCGAATGCGATGTGGTGGCATGCCATTTGGCTGAATCTGCAAAAGTGGCGAGTCTGGGGGAGTATAAATCAGGGACTCTGGGACCAACGTAACAGTCGGCTGCTCGCAGCGCAAGTGGATGGTCTCCTCTTCCTCTGTCTTTGAAAGGCGGCCGTCGTAAATGTGTAGACTCAGTGTAGTTGCTAGAGTTAATGGGACGGAGTAGTCGGTCTCTTGAGACAAGGCAAATACCGACCAAGGATAGCGTTGTTGGGATATAATCTGGAGCGTCTCGAGATCGACTTCATTCACGACGTGCCCAACGGCCAAATACGCCCTTTGGCGAATTGAATCCACGCTGACACATTCTCCTAGGTTGATGAACTCTAATGCCGATTTCGCCGCAAAGTTCTCCTTTCTCCGAGACATGTCAACCGTCAGTATCCCCGGTGCACTCCTCCCAAGTATGCTGCCCTTCGTGACTCGTGAACCGATCGCGTGAGAGTGGTTTAGATCCCAAACGCAAACACTCCCGTCACTCAAAGGTGATATGACTTTGTTCTGTCTGGCTAAACTCCAATCTTTCAAGAGCCCCATTCCCTTGACTTCGATGTAAGATTTCCGACCACCATGCGTCCGGGAGAACGGCTGCTGGAGCCAGCTGAGTGAAACTGGTCCATTCCGAGCAATATATTCCGAGTACCAATCGACATCCTCTCCCTCTGCAGATGGATCCCAAGCTGCCGCAGCCCTTGCTCTTTCACCGAACGTCGGGGTCAGGTTCTGTGCATCCGGAGTCGTATTGTTGGCCTGCGAGGCGTGGGGTTGGATAAGAGAAAGGAGCGACGGTTGTCCGAGTGAACTGAGAGTCGCAGTAGATTCTGTGGCGATGCTATCAGAGCCTCCGATACGAGGGCGGGCGGCTGATAGAGCGGCCCATGTGTTCTCGTAACAATGGAGCCGCCATAAGGTGTTGTCGCGGGCTAGCGCGAAGAATCGCCTAGAGACAGACTGAAGCTGTACCTGCTCTGGTGGAGTGAGATCTAAAACGCCCGACTGTGTTAGGCGTTGATTCTGTGTGGGGTAAAAAGCTCAGCAGGCGGGGTGGGCAGTTCTTACAGTCGATGATTTTCGTGAGGATTTCCACAGGAAGCTGGTCCATGAGGTAGAATTTTCGAGGGCCACCATTGAGGGCAGCGCAATCTCCCACCTAGCTTACTGCAGGACGCAAGACACGGCGCATGATCCTCATGTTGGCAGGAGCGTCAAAGCCGTTTTATTATCTCCCCGGGATCTGCAAGTCTAGACTATGGTCACGTGCTGGCATGAGGGTCCGACTGGATTAGAATCACATCCCTCGGATTGGTGTACGTGTAAGGATACTTGTTAAAGTAGTATAGACTCATAATAACGACCTATGAGACCAAAGAATAGCCGAGTGCCGACAAAGACGGTGTTGTGCAGGGTAACCCCTGCTTCCAAGAACTCCGTTCTCCAGATTTGCCAATGACGGATCCCTAAGTTCAGCAAAGCTTTCCTTGTCTGACGACCATATCCAAGTCCACGAGAACAAGGTTTCCATGACTGAAAAATGAGAACCAAGAAAGCAACCCAGACCCCGGTTTCAATGCAATGCTTCCAAAAGTATAACAACCAGTTCCGCCGAACGCCTAGCAAGAAAGTTTAGAGAGAAAGACTCTATTCGATGTCTTCAATGTCGCGGTGCCGTGCCAGTACGTGGCGCTTGTACTCCTCCTGGTTCGTGTCCCAGAGTTCAGCTGCTTGGGCGTTCAGAGGGCTCGCACTTTTTATCGGTTAGTATAGTTATTATGCATCAACTCAATGTGTCTTCTTACTTGTTCGGCTCCCCAAGGAGACTCTGCAAGCTGAGCAGCACGTTCTGGACATTGTACACGGCGCTCCATTTGTCCCGAAGGATATCAAGACAGATGCGGCCAGAGAAGTCGACGTTCGGATGGTAGATGGGAGTCTTGAAGAGAACGGTCGGTGGCGAGTAGGGGTAGTTGTTGGGGAATGAGAAGGACAGCTTGAATGTAAGACCCTCGTACGGGGTTTCTGAAGGGCCGGTGATCGTAGCAATCCAGGAGAGAAGGTTTCCGTCGGCGTCGGGGAAGGCGGAGATGCCTGGAGAAGGTGACACCATGAGCTGCATCAATTCGGATTGCAGGCTAAGCAGATCACAAATATTAGCATGCGCAGGCCAACGGTCTACCACTCCGCATCATAATGCACTTACCGCTTGGTTACGCCCTGGGTGTCATTGCGCTGAGCAGAAGATCCCAGCTTAGAAGCCTCGTGCGCGTCAGGCGCGGCGTTTTGTGTATCCTCCATTGTGTAGTCCATTGTGTTGTGTTCACAGATAGCAGGATTTGCGAAAAGAAGGCAAGGAAGAAACAACCACCGACGAAGAGTGGAAGTGGATTCAAAAGCGGCCTTCGAGAAGCACTGTGCTCGATTGGATGCTACAGTACGGAGTAAAGTAGCAACAGGTAAGGGTTGCTTGGAATGGCGGCTGGGGCCGGAAGCAGAAGGTTGGAATGGAGCGGGCGGATTGACCCAGATGTTGCCAAATGCAGTCCGGAGAAGATATAGTTCGGAGATATATTGAGTACTGAGATATGTACCAGCGATAGTGTAGAGGACGCTGGATGTAGTTGGTACGGACAAAGAGATTGAGCAGAAGAAAGTGGAGGAGAGGAGAAGAGAGAGGGGGTGCGAGTGTGAACAGTGCAAGCGCCCTTTTGTTTACCACAGCAACCATCTGACCGGCCCATCCAACCTTTCTTTGTCTTCAGCCATGCTTCTGCATCCGGTCATGCTGGATCTCATCTGCAGCTGAAGACCTCTCGCTGAGAATACTTCTTGGGCCTGCATAATCAGATTATTTTCCCAAGACGAACACCTCTTGCGCCCGTCAGCTCTCGCATAAGCACTGTGCTTGCAGCGGGGTTTTGCCGCACAAGTCATGCACGATGCATGGCATGGCAGATTTTGCCGAATGCCCTCAGACATGATGGTCATTTCAAGTATTTCTCGCTCCTGGGAACTTTCTTTGAGCATGTTTTATTTGTCGGAGCTCAGCCATGGCGACCTGTGTTGCGACCGGCTGAGTCGAGTCCAATCAACACACTGCCCAAAAAGGATAAAGTGCCTTTCGCGCGATCGTGCCAACCACCGCGTCTTTACCCTTCCAGCTTTCGACTCTTGCATCTTCAATTACGCTAGGGAACTATCATGAGTAGGGCCGCTTAACGATTTTCTCTAGATTTATTTTCCATACACTCGGAGCTTCCTGCCCCAAGAGACCCCGGCGTCGCAAAATGCACCACTCTCAATTAGCGCCACTGCCCATTGACCTGCCTTTTCGCATAGTCTCCAAGACATTCGGTCAAGGCGCTTATGCTTGGTAACCAATCTTCTACGTGTCTCGCTATGATTGATGAGCTGTGCTGATGAACCTCGTTTTTTACAGTTTGAAAAAAGCATGTCCGCTCAACGCCGACTCCCCGGTCTTCGCCGTGAAGCTCATCAACAAAGACTACGCCGCCCGCCATGGCAAGATCAGTCCGCGACAATTGCTCATGGAAGCCACGGTACACAAGCATATCGGTGACCATAATAATATCATCTCTTTCTTCCAGACCGGGGAGGATGGCGCGTGGCGATGGATTGCGATGGAACTAGCGGAAGGAGGGGACCTTTTCGACAAAATCGAAGCGGACGAAGGTGTGGGCGAGGATATTGGCCATGTATATTTCTCTCAGCTCATAAGTGCCGTGGGATATATGCACTCGAAGGGCGTCGGACATCGAGATATCAAACCGGAGAACGTCCTCTTGACTGCGGATGGAAACCTGAAGATCGCGGATTTCGGTCTCGCGACGCTTTTTGAATACAAGGGAGGTACAAAGTTGTCTACCACCTTCTGCGGTAGCCCACCGTATATCGCGCCAGAGGTTATCACCTGTAGCACGCGAAATCAATCGAAAGGGTCTGGATATCGCCCTGACGTGGCGGACATCTGGTCGTGTGGGATTGTTCTTTTTGTCCTCCTCGCCGGAAATACACCTTGGGATAGCCCGACAGAGGACAGCTACGAATTTCACGAATACGTTACGACTAATGCTCGCACATCCGATGAACTATGGCAGAAGTTGCCCACCGCGACACTCTCACTACTACGCGGAATGCTGAATATTGACGCCCAGGCCAGATTCTCTCTGGAAGACGTCCGGCGACATCCTTGGTTCACCCGCCAAAACAATTATCTTACCCCAGATGGCAGACTACGGGATCCCATCAAGGTCGCCACGTCTATGTTCGAGTCTCTTCACATCGACCTCTCTCAGTCTGTCTCCCGTCCCATGAACGGCGGCAGTTTCGGCCCAGACCGGATGGACGTCGATATCGGCGATGGCCTAGCCGCCGAGCACAGATTCTCATCCACTCAACCGGAGGTACCAAGGGGCGACATGCTGATAGACTGGGACGCACCGCACCTTACAGATGTCTTTTCCTCCAGCCAGCCGACAAACAACCGACGTTCGTCAATCAGCAGCTTCACCGCCGAAATTCTGGAAGACGAGCCGTCTTTCTCGCAATTCTCCCAGCACCCCTCTGTGCCCGTTAGCCGCACTCAGAACGCCCAGCGCTTCCACGATATCGTCCCCTCCCGCTCTCTCACCCGCTTCTTTTCGACATGGGAACTCAAGCTCCTTGTCCCGCTTATCTGCGAGGCCCTGCATCGTCTGGGTGTTCCTGTTCCAACTGTCCCTGCGGTGTCGCCCGGCGATAATTCCGCTATGATCAGGATTATCACGAGGGATGGTAGAATGTGTCCTCTGCATGGGAAGGTGCTTGTTGAGTGTGTTTCCGAGGGGCTTTTCGAGATCGAGTTCATGAAAGGGAAGGGCGATCCGTTGGAGTGGCGGCGATTCTTTAAGAAGGTGGTGCTGCTCTGTAAGGATGCGGTTTATACGCCTGATTCATGACCTTTCTGGCCTTTATGGTCTTTTCGTACCCCGTCCTGCTGATAACAGTAGTGACGGCCGACGGTTTTGCCATGTCCTTGTATGTTTAATGTGTATATGAATGATCGATCACTGCTCAAAAGTCGTCCAAAATTGAATATCTTGAAAGCTAGATCGGGGCTCAACCTGACCACAATAAAAGCATTCAAGCCATAAAATGGGTATCGTATCCTTTCAATTCGTACAAACGAGGTAACATGAGACGAGATAGCATATCAGGCTCAAGCCAAACACCACACACCGCACCCTGTGCCCACGCCCCATGCAGAGGAAGAAGAGGACAAGTGATAGTAACACAAAAAATGACAAAATATGATTATTTTCATCATCAAAAATAGGATAGCACACCAGCCTGCGGCCTGCAGCTACCTATGTACAGCTCCTCCAAGTGCGAGTGGAGAATGGAGGCAGGGATATAGATATGGACAAAATATACAATAATAATTATAAGTGACACGATTACGCAGTGGACGTCGTGATGAACTGCTCCTCGTTCTGGATCAGCAGTCCCGCAATCGCTGCAGACGTGAAGGTACTGATTGCACCCGTGAGCATGGCGCTGACGGCGACGCGCGAGACATCACCGCCACGGCTTGGAGCCAGCTGCGCCAGCACACCGATCTGGTTACCCAGGGAGCCGATGTTAGCGAAACCGGCGAGCGCGTAGGTGGCGATCAGGCGGGAGCGGTTGGAGAGGTCCTTGTATTCCTCTTCGCTTTGCAGGGCGGAGTAGGCGACGAATTCGTTCTGGATGGGTTGTTAGTTAGCGCGTTCTTTTTTCTGTTTCCGAGTGAGATGGGGGGAACATACAGCAACGAGCTTCAGGCCGATGAGTTTGCCGACCTTCAGGAGGTCGCCGTCACGGCTGACGCCGAGGAGGAAGGCGATGGGGTAACAGATGTAGCCGACGATCAGGTCGAGGGTTAGGGTTGGGTCATTGATGTTGAGGTACCGGCCCCACCAGGTGAGGAGACCATCGATGAGACCGATGAGGGAGATGATGCAGAGAAGGGTGGCTGCAATCATGCCGGCAATTTTGATACCGAGCCAGGCGCCCTTGGAGAAGGCGTCGAGGAGGTTGGCTGGCTTGTCCTCTTGTTCCTCTGGAATGATGACGCGGCCGGCCGTGAGGGTTTCCTCCTCCTCTGGCCAGCGCAGCTTAGAGCATGCGAGCGATGCAGGGATACTCATCACGCAGGAGGAGATGAGGGCCTGCGCGTTAACGCCCATGGAAAGGTAGGAGACCAGGACGGAACCTGCGATGGTGGCGTATCCAGAGCACATGATCTGGTGGATTTCAGCCATGGTGCAGTGGGCGATGAAGGGCTTGATCAACATGGCGGACTCTCCCTGACCGATGAAGGGTGAGGCGGCTGCTACCACGGCCTCGGCTCCGGAGACGCGCATCGACCAGAAGAAGAAGACGGCGAGTTTGCGGATGGCCCACTGCAGGACGCCAGTGTAGTAGAGGAGCTGGACGAGAGAGACGAAGAAGATGATGGCTGGAATGACGGTGACCAGGAAATAGGGGTGGGTAGAGTCAAAGTCGGTTGCGGTTAGAAAGTCGACTCCCTCCTGGGCGAAACCCAAAAGCTCTCTAGCCAACATGGAGATGAAGTCAAAGATATCGTAACCTGCCTTTGTACGGAGCACGAAAAGCGCAACGATGAATTGCACGAGCATGCCCACGACAACAGTGTGCCAGTTGATCGCCCTCCGGTTTCTGGAGCTGCACCAAAGGGCAAAGATGCAAACCACGAGACCAAACAAGCTGACTGCACGGTCAGCCCGGCTGTTGCCCGGGGCCTCCGCAGACGCAAAAGAGCCGACCAAGATGGTAGCGATAGTCACTAGAGCACCAAGTGGAATCCGGAAACGCTCAGGAATCATAGCGACGAATCGGCTGGCTGTACTTTTCCACACATAGTGCACTGGCCGCGTGAAGATCGAGATTGGCACATAGACGAAAATGAGGCGAAGGGTGATGGCAAGATAGAGCAGGAACGGGACCAACCATCCCAAGTCATATCGATGCAGAATAAGGCCAGCGATCCACCACCTTCATCAAGCAGGAGAATGAGTCTCGGTATAACAGCGAGAACCGCAGAATCTGCGGGAGGCATCAAAGAAGGACTCACCCGGTGAACAGAAGCCAGATCACAGCAAACCAAAAATGCTTGCCATTCGATTTCCAGAACCGGCGAGCCGACGCTTTGAACGCGGCCTTTCGTCCTCCTGCCTCGACATCCTGTCCACTTGGCTCGCTGCTGTTATCCACGGGGTGTGATTCCGGAATTGCCTTTTTCTCTGTATAACCGTCCTGCGAGTAGCTGAGACGCTCATTCGAGCCTATCGCTGGCGGCGCAGGTTCGTCCGAACGCCTGATGGGATCTTGGGGCGCGTTCCCTTTCGGAGGTACGCCCTCCAACACGTTCTCGTTGTGCATGGTGTCAAATCTGGCAAACGAGACATGGTTAGACAAGCTCCGCACCGTTTTCCTCACGCCATTGGAGCTTTGGATATAGTTACCAGAGCTATCTGAAGCACGAATTGGCCCACGACGGAGCTGCGAAAATTGGGGAAGATCTGCGACAGCTAACAGGAACGAGATCTGGGGGGAACCGTGGGTTAAAGAAGTAGTTGTCAAGTCAAAAGCTAAAATAGTACCTCGGACAGGCCGTATCTAGGTAGGGTAAGATAAGGGAAGAGGCGAATAGATTAAAGAAAGCCAGGCGAAGGAGACCTCCGGGGCGTTATCATTGAAGGCATGGTCGTGTGCGTGTGCGGGGAGACAAGCGGAACAAAAATTTCCTCGTGGTGGACGATTTAGTGCAGCCTTGGGTTGGCCACTGGGGCGCTCGGATCTCATGATTCGGCCTCTGTTTCACACCCACTCTGTGGGTTTCCATCCATCCCAGCTTCTAGAAAGCGTCCTTACAGCATACAGACGCACATAGGTGCTGTTGCATCAAGATGATTCAACGTGGCTCTGATAGTCCAGTTCTGAACTTTTTTTGAGCTGATCGCCGGACTATCACTGGCCAATCACACTCATGCAGCAACGATCAGCGATAAGAATGTTACAGCGCTAATCGAGTCTCGAGTCTGAAGGATCAGTGCCACCACCAGCTCGTCCTACAGTCTCGCGGAGAATAACCAGTTTGATGCCCTGGCCAGGGTGCAGGAGTGAGACGAACGCTTTGTTCCCAGCTCGCCTCGTGGTCGACAGTCTCTTTATCACGATTAGGGCATTGTCTTGGCCTCTTGGCTCGGCGAACGCCGTGTGGCTAGTCGTCGCTGATAAGCTTTGCCCCAGAAAACACTATGATTCCCAGCGACGTGGTGCAACACACTGACTCGGCCATATCTACTGCTCTTGACTGCAGATATGCTGCTATCGCGGCGCACTGCTTGCCTGTTGGACAAGAGGTGGAGATCCCTTGGATCTCCGCGGCAAACTCAGTCGGATAACTCTAACTAACCTCCAAAGATAGGAAAAGAATTAACCTCTAACTTTGGCCGGATCTCACGACCTAATTAAAAAATAAAATATAAAAAAAAAAAAAAATAAATACAGCTTAAATTTTCCTATATTTAGCTATTAAACTTTTATATTCTTATTTATTTTAAATCCTAAAAAATTTTATATTTTATTTACCCCTTAATTTTTATCTTAATTTTATATAACTAATTTTTATTTAAGGTATTTATAACTCTAAAAATTATAAGCCTGGCTTATACTTTACTTTTTTAAATATTATTTATATAATTATTTTTAAAGCTATTTATTACCTAAATCCAAACTTTTAAAGTTTTTTTTATTTACTATATAATATATTATAAAAAACCTTTAATTTTTATTTATAAATACCTAGTTTAATACTATAACCCTAAATAGCCCTAATATATAGCGCCTATAGTATTAAATTACTAAATTAATAGTTATAGGCCTTATAATATAGGACTATATTAATCCCTTAATTAATAATAAAAATCTATTACTTATTTTTATTAGCCCAAGGCTAATTCTTAAAGATTACTACTTTAATATTTTTAAAAAAGGTAAACTTTAAATAAGTTATTTAATAACTAATAAACAAGGCAGATTTTATATTACTATAAAAAAATATTTTACCTAAAAAAAAAAATATAAAGCTTTATTAGGTATAATAATAGCTTATATAACCTTAACTATATTTAGCTTTTACTAATAACTTTTATATAGCCAAGAATATCCACGTGTAATACTTTAACTTCTTATAAAGTATTATATATAATTTAATATTACCTGCTAAATAAAAATTAAGGCAAAATAAAAAAAGGCAGCTATTTACTAAGGCCTTTTTATTAAAAAGTAAATTAATAATTAGTATAACTGCTGGGTTAGTGTATTTACTAAAGCTAAAAAGTTTAATATTTTTACTAGTAATTAAAATATTAACATGCTTTAAGACTTTGTATATACTATTATAATTATTAATAAAAAGTTTAGTTAAAGGCTTTACATGGCCATTCTCTTTAAAAAGAAAAAGAACTTTACCAATGCTATTAAAAAGTTTAAAGTATTTTATATATTTTAGGCCGTCCATACTACATATAGTAAATTTAGATAATAGCTAATAAATAGCACCTTTACCATGCTTAAAAAAAATAACTTAATAAATAAAAAAAATAAAAATACTAAAAATAACAAGAAATCTAAGAAAAACAGTAAAAATAAAAATAATAAATTAAAGGTAATATGCCTGGTATATAGCTATTTATATTTTATTACTTTTTACTAGTATTTTAATACTAAAAAAGCTTTAAAAAATTAGGAGCCTTAAGAAAAAACTTTACAAAAAGTAAAAAAAAATATACAGGATTTAATTATTAAAAAGAAAGTACTAAGCACCTTTAAAAAATCTAGATTTAATATTATAATATTTAAAATTAAGGCCAAAAAAAACAACTCTAAAAACCTAAAGAAAGTTATAATAATAATTACCTATTTATTATTTAATAGCTTATAATATAACTTATATAAAAGCGTTATTACTAACTCCAGATTTTTTATACACGTTATTAATAACCTTACTAAAATAATTAACATTCACGACGCCTCTAAAAACAACATTATTTTTATTAGTAATACTATTAATAAGATTAAAAAGTTTAATACACTCCATGTTTCTTACAAGGGACTAAATAGCTTAAAAAAGCTCCTAAAACTTAAAAATTACGCCTATATTTTTAACTTTTATACCACTATTATATCCCTTAATAAAGCTATATTAATAAATCTATATTTTAGCAGCCGTAAAAGAACTTTTAAAGACTTAAAAAAAACAAACTTTTATATACTTAAATAATATTATAAATTATACACACTTTACTATAAGAAATTTAATATTAATAATAATAAAAAGATTAAGGCCTCTTACGCTATAATAAAAATAAAAATTTAATATTTTATAATTTTAAAAATATTATTAAAAAGCCTAAAAATTTAGTATAAGTATATGGGCCACCTTAACACT